AATACTTCTGCATTTACTTAAAAAGGAACTGTAACTTCAATTTTTTAAGGATATTATTATTATTATTATTATTATTATTATTATTATTATTATTATTATTATTATTATTATTATTATTATTATTAGACTAATTGAGATTATTGAGTTTAAATCTATAATTAAGGTTTAGTTTAAGGAATCTATTATAATGGCTTAGTTATTTCAGGGGGCTCATTTGACTTTATTTTTTGAGTCAGCATCTCAATTTTAGGCATATATTTTTATTTAACTTTTGAAATTTCTTCCTCCATTTACAATTGCAAGAATGCCAAAAACTTTTTTCTCTCATCTTAATTCATGTTTTCCATTTATTATTCATCACTTAATTATTCATCTATAATCTCATTTATTATTTTTTCCTTTTTAGCATAAGTTACAAAGTCTAATTCCTTTTCACTTTTACTTTTAACTTCTTCCTCTTTAATTACAAGTGTTCCACATTCCACTACAGTACCAGAAGATTGTTCTTCATCTTCACTATTTTCTTATTTAGAGATCAAGGTCTATACATTTTCTAAATTTTCTTGAGTTTTTGATTATCTATACTCATCAATTTAGTTGAGAAACTTTTCGATTAGATTTACTAATTTCTTTTAATCTAATTTGCCTTATTTTATAAATGGAGACTAAAGTAATTGTTAAGCAGTCGGTCTTTCTGAGACTTGCACTCTTAAACAAGATTTTACAAAATCGTTAAATTCCTTCGACCATTTTTCAGGATTAGTTAAACCCTAAGGTGGGTTATTTTTTATTGCAAACATTGCTCTTACAGGATGAATATGAGAATAAGGAGGTTTTCCTTCTGCAAGTTCAATAGCAGTGACTCCTAATGACCAAATGTCTGTTAGATGGTTATATCGATTCTTAGATATAACTTCAGGAGACATATAAACAGGGGTGCCAATTACTGTTCCCTTTTTATTAGAGTAAAAATACTTTATCTGCATTCGTATAAATGAGTTGTGCAGCTACTCCAAAATCAGCAATTTTTATTGTTCCTTTTTCATCCAATAATATATTTCCAGCCTTGATGTCTCTATGAATTTTTTTATTTGCATGCAAATATTCGATTCCAAGTAGTACATGATATAAAATTGCAGCTATCTCTGACTCAGTTAATGTTTTTTAAGTGATTTTCAATAAATCAATAATTGACCCTCCTACACAATATTCCATCACTAACCATAAATTTCCATCTTTATAAAAGGAACCATAATATTGTACTATATGAGGATGTTAACATTCCTACTTACTTTATTGATAATACTTTCAAAATCTAAATCTCCTTAATTAATGATTGAATTTCACCAGTTGAAGGAACTATTTTTATAGCCACAATTTAGCCGTTTTTATGTCTCCCCTTATAAACTTTTGCATAAGCACCTTCTCCAATCAATTCATTCAACTCAAACTATTCCTCAGGGTCTTAATTAGAATACATACAAATTATTAATAATTATGATTATTTAATATTTTATAAGGATAATCAAATTATACCTATCATTACTTTAAAATATAATTTTTGAGAGGTTCTATCGAAAAGACTTGATTTTACAAATTTAATAGAATTAGATTTATTTTCACCTTATTTTTAATAATATCTTGTATGAAAATTTGTCGATCTATTAGGATTACTTAATTTATTTTAGATATATTTTAATTATTCTGTAAAAATAAATTTATAAACCTAACATTTATGGAGAATCAACAATCCAATCAAATAACAAAATCAGCTATTTTTTTAGCATGAGAATTTAATCTTATATTTCTACTCTATGAAATAATATTAGTTTAGATTTGAATAAAACATATAAAGTATGAAGATTTGATGAGAAAAATTATTTTAGAAAAATATAAATTATTAAGTTATTTCAAAAATATTCTAATTCAATGAACGTTTAATAGGTTCCAATAACAAAACCTCCATCTCGTTCACCAATGCAAACTTATAACATAGCAAAAATAATAAAAACAGAACCATCACAATCTGATAGATAATTTTCAGCAGGTCATAGATGTGAACGATCAATGCTTTCACCTAGTCTTCTTGATGAAGGGTCAGTTTTGGTTCAAAAATTACCACCTAATAAATTAGTAATAAATGTAAATATCAAGGTAAAAGCTTCAGGCAAATATCCAGAATTTTGTATTCGAGATCAAGATACAGGCAAAGTCATTGATATTCGTTATTAAGATTGGAGAAATAATTGGTTTTTCTATTTTTAATTTATTAGGAATACAAAGAGTCCGAATAATGCCAAATTGATAAAAGCAGTGAAAAACAATTCCTATAATGAGGTTAGAGAAATCCTTTTAAAAGACAAGCCTGACATCAATTCAAGAGATACAGAAGGACATACTGTATTACATTTAAGTGTGATGAGTGGAAACTCTAAATTAGTTGGATTACTATTATATCATGAAGCTCAAATAGATTCATTAAATTCAAAATTATAAACACCTTTAATGATTGCTTGCAGTTTAGGGGCTGAAGAGATTACTTAATAATTAATTACAGCAGGAGCAGATATCAATGTTTAAGATATTAATAAAAATACTTGTCTTCATTTAGCAACCATGAATGAAAGATAGAAAATTATAGATTTATTATTAAATAAACAAAGTTTGAATCTAAATTTAAAGTATATTGAATTAATTATATCTTAGAAATAAAGAAAATAAAATTGCTATGGATTATTCTTCCAATTAATAAATATTTCTTTAGGCTATGCAAAAATAAAATAATAATTCAATAAAAATTTATGATGCAAGGACTGACTTTGGAAGTGAAAATTCCAATTCATTTAATGAAGATAAAGTTGGTCCTCATCATTTTAAAGTACATGCCCTTATTGGAAGAGGCAGTTTTGGAGAAGTTTATTTAGTTGAAAAGCTGGATACAAATTAATTATTAGCAATGAAAGTTCTTCATAAATCAAAAATATAAAGTATTAATAATTTATAATATTAGAACAAAATCTTACAAGATATGCATTAACAGAGAGAAATGTATTATCATTAACTAAACATCCCTTTATTGTCAGGTTAAGATATGCATTCCAAACTGCTGATAAGCTTTGTCTTATTATGGATTATTGTCCTGGAGGAGATTTAAGTTCTCATTTGAGAAGAGAATAGAGATTTCCAGAAGAAAGAGTAAAATTGTATCTGACTTAAATGATTCTTGCTTTGGAAGATTTACATAAGAGAGATATAATTTTCAGAGATTTGAAACCTGACAATATTGTTTTGGATGCAGATGGTTTTGCTATGTTAACTGATTTCGGTTTATCAAAAGAAGGAGTTTAAGAACATTATTCTGGTGCAAGATCATTTTGTGGATCTGTGGCTTATTTAGCACCTGAGATGCTAAAAAGATGTGGTCATGGAAAGGCAGTCGATTGGTACTTATTAGGAGTTGTTATGTATGAACTTTTAGTTGGGCAGCCTCCTTATTATGCAAATGATAGAGAAGAACTTTTTAATAATATTTAAAAAGCTGATCTAAAACTACCAACATATATTTCCCATGATGGGATTAATCTATTGAAAGCGGTAAATCATTCGTTTTAAATGCTTTTTAGCTATTATAAAGAAATCCAGCTAAAAGATTAGGTTCTGGTAAAGGAGATGCTGAAGAAATTAAAGCTCATCCTTATTTTAATGATATTGAGTGGGGTAAGGTTAAAGAAAAATAAATAAAAATGCCAATTTTGAGTAGAAAAACAAGGTTCATTAAGGTTGAACATAATGTTTTTGAAATTGGTAGCTTTTTAGAGTAATCTCATTTAGCTGGATGGTCATTTGCAGAACATAAAATATAATAGTGATTTTCGTTTATACTTAATACAAAATTACAATATCATTAATCTTAATAACATTATTTAAACTATAAAATTAATTATATTTCTTCAATAGTATAAAATAATGGATTGATTTATTTGATTAATTTCATTAAAAAAAAAGCATGGGAAAAAATTAGCGGGAATCATTAAAAATGAGATTAAGATGTAATGAACCTGGTTCTGAAAATAAGCGAATAAATTATTTTAAGCTAAACTAAGGTTATGATATTACAGAAGATGATTCAGAATATATGGATGAATAAGACTCATATAAGGCATTTAAAAAAATTAGGAAATACAAAACAAAATCAAAAAAAGATAAAGTGTAAATTGTTTTTAGTTAATTAGAACTTGTGACAATTTAGAAGTGTTGTTATAATGGAAAAAATCAATTAATACTCAACCATATGAAACAGACCAAAAAAAGTAACCATAATATTCTAATATAAGGATTGTTGTACTCAAAAAGATTCTAGGGACAGATCTATCCCAATATGCCAAAGGAGTTTAAGGAATTTTTATTGATAATCATTTTAAAAAAGATTTAGTAATTACCCTTAATATATATAGAAAAATTTAGATCTATCCAAAAAACTAATATCTAATGGAATTTTATTTATTTGGTCTGATAAAGGTCTTATAAATGAAATTCTTGAAACTATGGAAAATAAAGGATTTACTTATATTGAGAATCTGGTTGTAGTTTAGCTAAGTTTAGAAAAAGCTTTAGAAGAATTGAATAAACATATGAAAATTGAACAGACTGAAGATGCTGTCTTAGACAATTTAAATTTCTTATAATAAAAGGTTTAAGTAAAAGATTTGATCTTGCATCGTCCTTCAAAAGTCTTAAATTAATCAAAATAAGTGTTGATAATGTTTAGGAAATTTGATGAATAAAAGTCATAACTAGAATTAAGACATTAAAGAACTCCTGATGTATTATTTGATATTGTAAGTAATGGAAAATCATCCTTAAAAACAAAAGAGTATATTTATTAGACCATTGAAACATTGCTTCCAAAATCTTAATTGATGGAGATTTTTGCTTAAAAAGATTAACCTAGAAAGGGATGGATTAGTGTTTGTGAAAATAAATGATAAATATATTTAAATTCATTTTAATATAGATTCCAAAATTTTATATTAATTCTTAAAAAGCCTTATTAAATGCTAATTACTCTCTTAATCATTATTTATTTTAAGATCAGCATCATTTATTTTTAGAATTGATTTTATTAGTTTTGTCTTGATCGATTAGTGGCACATACAATAGATTTAAGTTTAATCTTTCTCTATTTAATTTATTATTAATAATTCTAGACATTTGGTATGATATATATGAAAACATTCGAGTTAGTATTGATCTTATTATATTTCTTAATTGCAATATTAACATAAGGGAACTAATTATTTCATAGAAGAGAAAGAGTTATCTAAGGAATTGATTCCTATTTCAATATCTACCTCAGATTAATCTAAATCAAGTAGAATACAATTTTTTTATATTTATTATGGTTGTTCTTACACTTTATATACATTAAGAAATTTTTAATGATAAAGATAATTAATAGAAATATCGATATTTGCTAGCTAAATCTATGAAGAGGTTCTTTTTATTCTTTTTTCTTTTTCAGAAACCTTTCCTAAATCCCTCTATGAATGAAATTTCTGCTAGTATTTACGAGCTTTTATTTTCTTCAATTAAACTGTCCTCTATTTGAGAAATTCATCAATTTCTAAAATCTCTTAATCATCAAGAGAACTTTCAGTTAACAAATCTGATACATTTTCTTGCATCAATGCAAAATGGTTAAATAGATTTACTTAATTTGGGACTTCTTATGTTTAATTTAATTTTTTTGGAGTTAATGGACTATTATTATTTTCTAAAAATTGTTTTGGTACAATTTTTTCATTATGTTTCTAAAAATCATTTTGTTTATATGTTTGGGTGAAGAGGCAACCCATAAGACTAATATATTATAAGAAAATTTTATTAATAAAATAAATTAAAAGGTTTTGTATAAAAGGAGAATTTTGCTTGTTTTTTTGAGCATTAAAATATATTTATAAATTTTGTTTGATTTTCAATATTTTTTTTTTCAATAAATCATGAAAAAGATGATTAAAATTAAGTCTAATAATTTATTTGAATTTATTTTAATATATTTTATATGAATAAAAATATAATAGAAGATCTTTCATTTTTATTTTACCTATACATTGACTTTAAAAAATAAAATTAATAATTTATTCTTTGTATACTAAGTATTCATTCATTTTTCATTCTGAATTTACATTGACTATGTTAGTTGGATCTTAATAAAAACCAGATGAATCAAGCAATGGAAATTTATAGAACTATTTAAATTAATGAATTGAAAAATCTAATAATATTTCAGATAGATTAACTATGAATAGATATTATACTTACTTTTCAAAAGGAAATCTGGTATAATCTGCTTGTCAAAATATATTGTTATTTCTTGTTTAAACTAGTTGGATTATATCTTTTCAAGTTTAGAAAAGTTCTCATCTTCTTTGATCATTTCTTAAATTTCTGATAGCAATAAGTCTTTTTTTTCAATCATTTATTTAAAATTTTTCTATCCTTGTTACTATGTTTCACTTTCATAAGACAATTGTAAAAAGTAAAACATTTTCTATTCTAGCTCTGATCTATTATTTTCCAAATAATTTTTAAATTATCTAAAATTTTCATTAATTAAACTTTGTTATATAAGAATTGTTCTGGGCTATAAACTTTACAGATTTGAATTGAGTAGGAAGACTTTTCAATTTTTCCACTTTTTAATAGGCACATTACTCAATTTTCTTATCATAATCTAATAATAGTTTTACTTCCTTCCACTTCATAATTTAATTGTGTAATGAATATAACCTTCATATTCTTTATAATTTATACCTACCATCCATCAAAATCTGTTCTACTTTATGCTTTTATTTAATAAGTTTTTTAATCACACTTTATAAGAAATGTTAAATTTTTATCTGGCTGTTTCTCGATTTACATTGAATCAAGTGAAATGCAACTCTGTTTTGTTCTATTTTTTTCATGTTTTTCATTTTTTTCATAAATTAAGGTATCTTTTTACAATTTAAAGAGTCTCTCTCGAAACTATCCTGTTTTACTTTTTTTCAATAGAGTTCCTTATCTAAAGGAATGATCTTTAGAATCTTCAAATAAATATAGTAATTATTACTTATTGTAATATGATTCCAAATTTTTTGATGATAGGATTGACTTTCCTACAATTTTATAAGCTTGATTTCTTGATAAATGATATAAAATTCTAAGTTTTGTGGAGTATTTTATAGAATTTTAGCTATTTACTCCTACTTATTAACAATTCTTTGTGAAATACATTTTTTATCCTTCTAACAAGTAATGAGAATGAGCACTTTTCTCACCTAATGATACAATAATTATAACTTCATCTCCAAGTTGATTTTACATATCTATCTAATCTAAAATTTTTTAACATTAAGTATTATCTTCTATGTTTAGGTTTTGGAAATAATTTTAACACTATTCATCTTTATAGATCTTAATTCTAATATTATAAAATACTTTTATCTTCTAGAGTTTAGATTATTATTTTGTAGATGATGTAAATAAACTTAGAAAGTTCATTCTATATTGACAAATATTTGTTTTTAATTATTTAACAAATTATTTTAATGGATTAAATTGAAATTGAAATAAAGGAGATGGATGCATTATATTTTGACAAAGAATATGCAAGTTATCATCCTTCTAATAATGAACTATTATAAAAGGACATCCATGAATATTAACATTTTTAAAATGTGATCGCATGCTTTTATAATTATACAAATGATATGAAAGTAGAACTTTAAAGAATAAAAACACATTTTGAAACACTTAAACCTGAACAAAGAAATAAATTATTAATGAATTATTAAGAAAGAATAAAAAAATTAGATTATTGCATAAAAAAAAATGCCCATTTTTGTTTCTTGATAGTTGCAGCTTATGTCGATATGTTTCCAGAGATGGATTTAAGTCAAGTAACATATATATCAGAGCTACCATATTTTCCTCATGCTTAACATGGTGATATTTCAAAACTAAGAATAACTTTAAAATAATTTTATAGAGGTAAAATTTATAGAAATTAATTCAAGATTGGAGTATTCAAGGTTAAGCAGAAAGAGATTAATCTTATAAACCTATTATTGATTGTTTATAATAATATTATCCAGATGCAAAAACTTAAGATAAGAAATATTAGGTACTTTTACCTGGAGCAGGATTAGGAAGGCTTGTATTTGAATTGGCAAGTCAAGGCTTTGCTGCTTAAGGAAATGAATTCTCATATTTTATGCTTTTAAGTTCTCATTTTATTATCAATCTCACTTAAAAAAAAAACTAATATGAATTATATCCATTCGCCAATAATTTTTGTAATCGATTAAGGTAATTTAATATGTTAGCTATAGTGAAAATGACTAATTTGAATTAGTTTAAATACCTGATGTAGTTCCAGCAGAAGTTTTAACTGAAAATGATCAAATGTCATTTGTAGCAGGGGAATTTATTACTGTGTATCATCAAGAAAAATATTTCAATTTTTGGGATAGTATAATTACTTGCTTCTTCATTGACACAGCAAATAATGTTTTAGATTACATAGATACAATCTATGAAATTTTGAAGCCTAAAGGCTGTTGGATTAATTTTGGGCCTTTGGAATATCATTTTGCTAATTAGTTCTCAGAAACAAGTATTGAATTAAGTTTTGAAGATATAAAACATTATATGAAATAGAAAGGATTTGAGATTTAATTAGAATAAATGAAAGAATCAACTTATAATCATTCAAAATTAGATTAAAAATACTTAATGTATAATTGTATATTTTTTATGGCTGTTAAGAAGTGAATATTAAATGATTTTTAAGATTTTTTTTCTTATAAAATACGATATTTAAGAATTTAAAAATAAAATTTAGAAATTTGTAATATAAATAAATAAATAATTATATTAATTCCACATGGCCAGCAAGAAGAAGCAACTTTTTAAAATTATCATTTTAGGTGATTCAGGGTAATTTTATATTCTAAATAACTTTTAGAGTAGGAAAAACATCTTTAATGAATTAATATGTCAATGCAAGGTTCACATAATAATATAGAGCTACAGTTGGAGCAGATTTTATGGCAAAAGAAGTTATGATTGATGATCGTATGGTTACTCTTTAAGTATATTGACTTTTGTTTATTTTTATTAGATTTGGGACACTGCAGGTTAAGAAAGATTCTAATCATTAGGTGGTGCATTTTATAGAGGAGCTGATTGTTGTGTATTAGTTTATGATATTACAAATCCAAAATCATTTGATTCTTTGGATTCTTGGAGAGATGAATTTTTAATGTAAGGTTAACCAAAAGATCCAGAACATTTTCCTTTTGTTGTATTAGGAAATAAATTAGATAAAGCTACAGAAAGAAAAGTTTAAGAATCTAAAGCATAATAATGGTGTAAATCTCATGGAAATATATAATTCTTTGAAGTATCAGCTAAAGATGCCACAAATATTGAATAAGCCTTTTAAGACATTGCAAAAGCAGCTGCAAGCTAGGAAAAAGATGAAGAAATGTAATCTCATTATTTTTATCTATATTAGATTTTTCCCTACAACTGTGACATTAACTAAATAGAGTCAAAAACCATAAGCTAAATAAGGAGGTTGCTGTTGATTTAATGAGATTTAAAACAAATTTCATAATAATATAATTTAAATTTATCCATATTTGTTAAATTTTCTTTAATAAAACAAAATAACTCCAATTTGGTTATTATTGATTTTTTTAATCATCATAATATTTTATCAAAATATTTATTTANAAGAAAGAATAAAAAAATTAGATTATTGCATAAAAAAAAATGCCCATTTTTGTTTCTTGATAGTTGCAGCTTATGTCGATATGTTTCCAGAGATGGATTTAAGTCAAGTAACATATATATCAGAGCTACCATATTTTCCTCATGCTTAACATGGTGATATTTCAAAACTAAGAATAACTTTAAAATAATTTTATAGAGGTAAAATTTATAGAAATTAATTCAAGATTGGAGTATTCAAGGTTAAGCAGAAAGAGATTAATCTTATAAACCTATTATTGATTGTTTATAATAATATTATCCAGATGCAAAAACTTAAGATAAGAAATATTAGGTACTTTTACCTGGAGCAGGATTAGGAAGGCTTGTATTTGAATTGGCAAGTCAAGGCTTTGCTGCTTAAGGAAATGAATTCTCATATTTTATGCTTTTAAGTTCTCATTTTATTATCAATCTCACTTAAAAAAAAAACTAATATGAATTATATCCATTCGCCAATAATTTTTGTAATCGATTAAGGTAATTTAATATGTTAGCTATAGTGAAAATGACTAATTTGAATTAGTTTAAATACCTGATGTAGTTCCAGCAGAAGTTTTAACTGAAAATGATCAAATGTCATTTGTAGCAGGGGAATTTATTACTGTGTATCATCAAGAAAAATATTTCAATTTTTGGGATAGTATAATTACTTGCTTCTTCATTGACACAGCAAATAATGTTTTAGATTACATAGATACAATCTATGAAATTTTGAAGCCTAAAGGCTGTTGGATTAATTTTGGGCCTTTGGAATATCATTTTGCTAATTAGTTCTCAGAAACAAGTATTGAATTAAGTTTTGAAGATATAAAACATTATATGAAATAGAAAGGATTTGAGATTTAATTAGAATAAATGAAAGAATCAACTTATAATCATTCAAAATTAGATTAAAAATACTTAATGTATAATTGTATATTTTTTATGGCTGTTAAGAAGTGAATATTAAATGATTTTTAAGATTTTTTTTCTTATAAAATACGATATTTAAGAATTTAAAAATAAAATTTAGAAATTTGTAATATAAATAAATAAATAATTATATTAATTCCACATGGCCAGCAAGAAGAAGCAACTTTTTAAAATTATCATTTTAGGTGATTCAGGGTAATTTTATATTCTAAATAACTTTTAGAGTAGGAAAAACATCTTTAATGAATTAATATGTCAATGCAAGGTTCACATAATAATATAGAGCTACAGTTGGAGCAGATTTTATGGCAAAAGAAGTTATGATTGATGATCGTATGGTTACTCTTTAAGTATATTGACTTTTGTTTATTTTTATTAGATTTGGGACACTGCAGGTTAAGAAAGATTCTAATCATTAGGTGGTGCATTTTATAGAGGAGCTGATTGTTGTGTATTAGTTTATGATATTACAAATCCAAAATCATTTGATTCTTTGGATTCTTGGAGAGATGAATTTTTAATGTAAGGTTAACCAAAAGATCCAGAACATTTTCCTTTTGTTGTATTAGGAAATAAATTAGATAAAGCTACAGAAAGAAAAGTTTAAGAATCTAAAGCATAATAATGGTGTAAATCTCATGGAAATATATAATTCTTTGAAGTATCAGCTAAAGATGCCACAAATATTGAATAAGCCTTTTAAGACATTGCAAAAGCAGCTGCAAGCTAGGAAAAAGATGAAGAAATGTAATCTCATTATTTTTATCTATATTAGATTTTTCCCTACAACTGTGACATTAACTAAATAGAGTCAAAAACCATAAGCTAAATAAGGAGGTTGCTGTTGATTTAATGAGATTTAAAACAAATTTCATAATAATATAATTTAAATTTATCCATATTTGTTAAATTTTCTTTAATAAAACAAAATAACTCCAATTTGGTTATTATTGATTTTTTTAATCATCATAATATTTTATCAAAATATTTATTTATTCCAACTTAATTTTAATAGATCTCAATGGATCTTTAGATTTATCATTTTTTATTTATTAAATTAGTTGCAAAATATAAAGATGATTATATCCAATATGATAGTAAGCACAAACTTTCTTTTTAAGGTTAATTAATGTTTACTTTTGGAATTAATAGCAATTTTTATAAAATCTATTTTAAAGTTGTAACTAATTTTTCGATGAGTTGTAATAATCAAAATGAAATTAATATCTACAAGATTCTAATAGAGTATTATGGAACCAAGATAAATACAATCATCCAACTTTTAAAACATAAATCCTTTTCATTTTATTTTAGAGAAAATAAGAATTTTATTTATTTTTTTATATTAAATATCTTTTTTCATTATCTAACAAATATTTAATGATAATTTCTCAGGAACAATAAGTTTTGACGATATAAAACATTATATGAAATAGAAAGGATTTGAGATTAAATTAGAATAAATGAAAGAATCAACTTATAATCATTCAAAATTAGATTAAAAATACTTAATGTATAATTGTATATTTTTTATGGCTGTTAAGAAGTGAATATTAAATGATTTTTAAGATTTTTTTTCTTATAAAATACGATATTTAAGAATTTAAAAATAAAATTTAGAAATTTGTAATATAAATAAATAAATAATTATATTAATTCCACATGGCCAGCAAGAAGAAGCAACTTTTTAAAATTATCATTTTAGGTGATTCAGGGTAATTTTATATTCTAAATAACTTTTAGAGTAGGAAAAACATCTTTAATGAATTAATATGTCAATGCAAGGTTCACATAATAATATAGAGCTACAGTTGGAGCAGATTTTATGGCAAAAGAAGTTATGATTGATGATCGTATGGTTACTCTTTAAGTATATTGACTTTTGTTTATTTTTATTAGATTTGGGACACTGCAGGTTAAGAAAGATTCTAATCATTAGGTGGTGCATTTTATAGAGGAGCTGATTGTTGTGTATTAGTTTATGATATTACAAATCCAAAATCATTTGATTCTTTGGATTCTTGGAGAGATGAATTTTTAATGTAAGGTTAACCAAAAGATCCAGAACATTTTCCTTTTGTTGTATTAGGAAATAAATTAGATAAAGCTACAGAAAGAAAAGTTTAAGAATCTAAAGCATAATAATGGTGTAAATCTCATGGAAATATATAATTCTTTGAAGTATCAGCTAAAGATGCCACTAATATTGAATAAGCCTTTTAAGATATTGCAAAAGCAGCTGCAAGCTAGGAAAAAGATGAAGAAATGTAATCTCATTATTTTTTATCTATATTAGATTTTTCCCTACAACTGTGACATTAACTAAATAGGACCCCAAGAAATAGCAAAAATAAGGAGGATGTTGTTGATTCAATGAAATTTTAGTCAATTTCATTATAATAATAAATTTTAAAAATTGAAATTAGTGAATCTCATTACCTAATTTTGAAAAATCTTTCTCTTTTTATTAATCATAGTAGCTGGTGTAAATCAGAAGATATTTAAGATAAATTTTTTAATTCAGTTTTTCTCAGCAGAATTATTTTATCAAATTTATTATTTAGTTGAATTACTTTATATCAAAAATGCCATAATATTTGTACTCTTAAAGTATTCCTCGAAAGTTTTCTGGTACTTTAATGCTATAAACATTTTTTACAATTTAAAGGTAAGACGCTTAATATGAATTAAAATTAGCAATTTTCTCTTTCAATATCTCCAAATAAATTTATTAGGAAACAAAATATTTAAAAGTTGAAATTTTATATTTTGTGAAATATCTTTGAAAAGTTAGAGAATGTTGAAAATGTTTTTTCTATCATTTTACAATAAATATATTTCTTTAAACATCAATAATATGCTATTTAGACTCAAAAATTTTCTAGATTTTTTAAATTTCTGAATCTATTCTAAGTAAAATTTTCTAATATATCAGAATCTTTTCTCCCTTTTATTGGTATTTCTTATCTAGTACAAAAAAAATACTCATTTCTATATTCTTCCTAAAAATAATTAATTTAAGTAAACTGAAATTTCATTAAATTTCTTGAGATTAATTATATAAAGTCAACTTTGTGATGCTTTTTTTTAGGTTAATGTTTAACTGATTTAAAAAATTACTTTAAATTGAGTTTATAGAATAAAAAGATTTTATATATAATAATTTAGAATATATTGTTTGGGTTATTAAAATAAATTGAATATAATTAATGAAAAATATAATTGCAGCCACATTGACGACTCTACTGATTGGTTTGGGTTTCTACCATGTAAATTTAGATTCTGCTTCTGATTTTGAAAGATGGGCTTTAAAACATGGCAAAAGTTATTATGGAGATGAGAAAATATACAGATAAACAATTTATTATCAAAATAAATAAATGATTGATTAACATAACAAAAGAAATGATATTACTTATTAAATGGCAGAAAATCAATTTATGACTATTACAAATGAAGAATTTATTAGACTTTATTTGAATACTAAATCATCTGAATAATTAAATGATTAAGATAAAGTTAAAAGAAATAATATACATAAATCTTCTGAACCAATTAATAAAGAAAATAAAAAATGGCCAACTGATTGGAGAGGTTTGATAAAAGTTCACAATTAAGGATCTTGTCCTTCTTCTTATGCAATGGCAGCAGTTAGTGTAGTCGAAGCAGCATATGCAATTGAAAAAGGAATATCTTTAACATTATCAGCACAATAAATCATGGATTGTAATTATATGTTTACTGGATGTGATCCTAATTTTGATAGAAATACAGCCTATGAGGCATTATTATACATAAGGTAATATGGATTATATAATGGATACTAATATCCATACACTGGTTAAACATAGAGTTGTTAAATAAATACTGGTGGACCTTGGAAAATTGCGAATTTCTGGTGGGGACCTTATAATGATTGGTATCACTTCTAATCAGATCTTGATAAGCATCCTTATGAAGTTGCAGTTGATGCCAGTAAATGGTAATTTTATGGTTCTGGTATATTTTCTGATTGTAGTTCTGCTTCTAGCAATACAAATTATTATGCATTAGCTGTTGGTTATGATTCATCAGATAATTGGTTTGTTCAAGCATCTTTTGGAACTAGTTGGGGAGAATCTGGATGTATAAGACTAGCTCCAGGAAATACTTGTGGTATTTTAAATGATAGTCACGATGTGGAATTATATTGATTCATTTATCATAAAACCATTAATCATAAAATAAAAATTTCACCCAATCTCCAAATATTAATCAATTCAATAAGAAAGGTCTTTCTAAATAAAATCATATTCATAAAAGGCATCTTTCCTTTATTTCTTTTTGAATTCTGTTTTAATTGCCTTCCTACTAACTTTATATAATAATCTATGATAATACTATTATGCTATCATTTTTAAATTAATTATTTCATTTATAATTTTGAACCTTAGGCTGTATGTAGAGTCCTTCCGTATCCAAAATTTAAAGATATTAAAACAATTAAATGATCAGAAATTTCATTCATTAAAAATTTTAATTTTTAAATTGTATTCAATAAATAAGTCATTTCAAATGTTCGTTAATATTATCATTATAGTATAATTTGATTAAATTATTATTCTTTACAAATCTATAGAAAATCTCTTATTATTACTTCTTTGGTTACTTTTGCAAAAATTAAATTTTTATAAAGTCAATTTCTAATTAATCAACTATATTCACCAATATACTATTTTATTTAAGTTTTTTGTTTGTAAAAATTTTTTGATTTATGTTTGTTTTCACAAAATGAATTTTTAAAGCATAAGAAATTATTAATCCAATATTATCATTAAATAAAAAATGATCAAATTTTAGAAAAAGTAAAATGAATTGGAAATTTTTAGAATATTTATTAAAAATAGTTATAAAAATATAATTAATTATAATTAATATAGCCTCAAAATTTAGATTATAAATTCAATAAATGAAAATTTTTAAACTTAAATAAAAGATATAATTAAATCATCAAGTATTAATAACAATGATAATAATCAACATTTATTTAAATTACTACTTAATTGGGAATTTAAGTTTAAAATAATGTTTTTTGGGCAAATGAATTTTTAACTAAATTGATGTATGATCAGATAGTGTCATAATATTTAAGGTTTTGCTAAATATTTAAGTTAAATTTGAATAGTTCTATAATGAAGAAAGTACTAAAAAGAATTTAGATTTTAATAAGTAATTCTAGAATNAAAATTGCGAATTTCTGGTGGGGACCTTATAATGATTGGTATCACTTCTAATCAGATCTTGATAAGCATCCTTATGAAGTTGCAGTTGATGCCAGTAAATGGTAATTTTATGGTTCTGGTATATTTTCTGATTGTAGTTCTGCTTCTAGCAATACAAATTATTATGCATTAGCTGTTGGTTATGATTCATCAGATAATTGGTTTGTTCAAGCATCTTTTGGAACTAGTTGGGGAGAATCTGGATGTATAAGACTAGCTCCAGGAAATACTTGTGGTATTTTAAATGATAGTCACGATGTGGAATTATATTGATTCATTTATCATAAAACCATTAATCATAAAATAAAAATTTCACCCAATCTCCAAATATTAATCAATTCAATAAGAAAGGTCTTTCTAAATAAAATCATATTCATAAAAGGCATCTTTCCTTTATTTCTTTTTGAATTCTGTTTTAATTGCCTTCCTACTAACTTTATATAATAATCTATGATAATACTATTATGCTATCATTTTTAAATTAATTATTTCATTTATAATTTTGAACCTTAGGCTGTATGTAGAGTCCTTCCGTATCCAAAATTTAAAGATATTAAAACAATTAAATGATCAGAAATTTCATTCATTAAAAATTTTAATTTTTAAATTGTATTCAATAAATAAGTCATTTCAAATGTTCGTTAATATTATCATTATAGTACAAATCTATAGAAAATCTCTTATTATTACTTCTTTGGTTACTTTTGCAAAAATTAAATTTTTATAAAGTCAATTTCTAATTAATCAACTATATTCACCAATATACTATTTTATTTAAGTTTTTTGTTTGTAAAAATTTTTTGATTTATGTTTGTTTTCACAAAATGAATTTTTAAAGCATAAGAAATTATTAATCCAATATTATCATTAAATAAAAAATGATCAAATTTTAGAAAAAGTAAAATGAATTGGAAATTTTTAGAATATTTATTAAAAATAGTTATAAAAATATAATTAATTATAATTAATATAGCCTCAAAATTTAGATTATAAATTCAATAAATGAAAATTTTTAAACTTAAATAAAAGATATAATTAAATCATCAAGTATTAATAACAATGATAATAATCAACATTTATTTAAATTACTACTTAATTGGGAATTTAAGTTTAAAATAATGTTTTTTGGGCAAATGAATTTTTAACTAAATTGATGTATGATCAGATAGTGTCATAATATTTAAGGTTTTGCTAAATATTTAAGTTAAATTTGAATAGTTCTATAATGAAGAAAGTACTAAAAAGAATTTAGATTTTAATAAGTAATTCTAGAATGCAAAATATTTATAATAAGATTTAAGTAATAATAAACTTGGTCAATAATTGGATGTGCATTTTTAATTATGAAAATATATGTTAAAATAAAAAAGGAAAGAAAAAGTCACATGAAAAATATAGCAAATAAGGAGTGAAATTAATTAATCATTAATTTTATAAATAAAAAAATCTATCAATCCAATTTTTTAACTTTTTGATAATAGTATTAGAAAGTGAAAAACATTTTTGTTAAAAAGATGTTATTTGAATTCTACCTCATTATGTCTACAACAAAGTGATATAAATTAAATTAGATATTATTAAAAATAGCATAAATGAAAATTCATAACACTTGGTTTGCTTAAGCCACATATTTAGGAATTATTGGTGCATTTTTTTTGCTACTACAAGTTTTACAGTTCCAGAACATAGACTTTATCATAGAGTTGCCAAAGTTTAACATTTTTGAGAATTTCATGATATCAATTTAAATAATTACATATTTTAATTACTTTTAAGTTTCTGTTAGCACTTTTTATATTTATTCAGCTTATTTTATCAATTTAGAGGCTTAAATCTCTTTTTTTTACTTTTCTAGTACGTCTACAGGAATTAAGAGATATTCATTAAAGTTCATGAATTTTGATCTCATAGTTAATTAAATCAAAATAAACCTTAGAAAGTCCATTTAAAGATGAAATAAACTTCATTTATCTTCTTATTTTAATTCTAATGTAAGTAGCTCTTCTCCTATTAAATGTTCATTTGGAGAGTTTAGAATTTGTTAATTTTAATAAGGTTCTGCTTAAGGTTCTTAAGCCTAAAAATGATTTCTTCTTATGGTCATGTTCTTATTAATTTTCTTATTCTTAATAATTTAGATTTAATTATTTTGTTAATTATTAAGCAATAAAGATTGTCCTACAATAGAAATTGTAAGATTGTCTCTTTCTTAATAAAGTAGAGTAAATAGGTTTTAATATCTTTCTCTTAAGGTTTCATAAGATTTAAAATTAAAATAGCTGACTTTATTTATTTATTTCTATATTTCGTTTTCTTTGGCTTAAGGACTCCACTTCAAAATAGAAATATTTATAGTAAAGACGATTATGTAATATTCTAAGATTAGATATTGAGGTTTATTAAATTGTTTATCAATATTTAATTAAATTCAATACTGTATTCATCAATAGTGTTTTTCCAGGAAAATGTTTATGGATTGTTTTGAATTTTGGACCAAAATTAAGAACTAATCATAAATCAATCTATCTATATCAAGGGACTGACTGTTAACCTACCTTTTTATAATTCATAACTTGATTAATGCATCTAACTTTATAAAATATATTCACACTTTATTTCTTATTAAAATTATCTTTATTTTACAGACCTTTCTTGCTCTTCTTTATGAAATAAAGTTTCTTAAATTATTAATTCATAATCTTATTGTTAATAAAATGGCTATCCTTTATCTGATATTACAATTAACACCAACTTTTATTATTGAAAGAGAAATTAAAATTCTAAATCTCATTCGTGATTTTAACAAAATCTTTATCAGATTATCAGAGATATATGAGAGTAAAAATATGTGTTTAATTAGTTAAAAATTTATTTATTTTCAAATAAGGTCAAACACTCGCTAGAATTTTCACCATTAATTATCCTAATTTCTAAAACTCACTTCTGCTAATTTTTTTGTCATTATTTGTATCTAAATAAGTTAAAATATAGTCTATTTCCTTTTAGGTTGGTAACTAATATTATAAGAAATTAAAACTTAAGAATTGATTTCTTTGGCAAGATTATTTAAAAGTGTAGTTAGTTCATCTATCTCAATAAATCCTGATTTATTTTTATCATATTTTTCAAAAACTCTATTGCAAAATTCTGTCACTTGTAAAGTATTCATCTATTTCCTTTAAATATAAATATATCAACAAATAATTATCAAAATTAAATGATCTTAAATTGTGAGTATCTCGTATTTTATTAGATGATGACTGGTAAATATCCATAAATTTAGTAAAAAAATATATTTAGTGTTTTAGTAATAATTTTTTTTGAGTATAACCATAAGAGCTTAAAATATTTCAAATAATTTATTTATAATAAAAATACTTAAATAAAAGATATTAGATTTGAGAAATTATTAACAAATATGATATTCTAATAAAGGTAACTGCATTATAAGTTTATTTATACTTTACAAATTTCTTATTGTTGTTGTTTTTTACATCATTTTTAAAAGTATTGTTTTGTCACTGCCATATTTTTTCCATAAATTGCAAGAGTAATTAGAAATTAATTATTCAACAGAAGCAGCAGAATTTATTGAAATAAAATTCTAGAAGTTTTCAGATATAAAGAATTATTATAAAATGATATAATAGAATTTTTTAGATTAGAGTTGTTGATCAGTTAAAATACATTAATTTATAGTCTAGCCTGGATCATGAAGAAATTAATTAGAATAATAATGAAAAATAGAAGGAGGAATATAATCTTTCAATTAACTCGTAATTTTTTTCTTTAATCAAAATTAATTATAGAAAAAGTAAGATAAACAAACATACAATCATTTGAATTTAAAGTATTTTTTTGATTATTCAATAAGAATTTAATAAGATTATTATGAAGAATAAGAAGTTTCAAAATAATATGAATGAAAATTTAATTTTGAAGTATTCAATTACAGAAAAAGAGTAATATATTCGTTTTTAAGAAATATATATTTAAATAGTTCTAAAGCATAAAAAAAAAAGTTATTAATTTTTGAAGAGATCATCTTAAAAAATAAAATATCAATTAATAATAAAAATTTACATAAATAAATTATTTAAGAAAATTTAGAATTAATAAACTAAAACAGATTAGTTTATTGATAACTTAATTGATCTTCATTTTAGATGATTTATTCTCATAGATTGCTAACTAGAAATAAAAAATTAATTAAAGATTTTATTAAAATTTAAAATAAAATGTAAATTTTTGTTAAAACCCTGACGGGAAAGACCATCACTCTTGATGTAGAGCCTTCAGATACAATTGATGCTGTTAAAGCTAAGATTTAAGATAAAGAAGGAATTCCACCTGATTAATAAAGATTGATTTTTGCAGGAAAGCAACTAGAAGATGGAAGAACTCTTTCAGATTACAATATTTAAAAAGAATCAACTCTCCATTTGGTATTGAGATTAAGAGGTGGTGGTATGGAACCTACAATTGCTGCAATAGCCAAAAAGTACAACGTTGAAAAAAAAATCTGCAGAGTTTGCTATGCTAGGTATGAAAACTGAAAATATTATTAGATTACCACCAAAAGCCCATAACTGCAGAAAAAGAAAGTGTGGACATTCAAATTAATTAAGAATTAAGAAGAAGCCTAAGGATTGATATAATCATGATTATTATGAATAAGTACAATAATACAATAAATCTGTTTAAGTTCTTGATTAATTACACATCATTTTTTAAGTGAATTACTATGTATAAGAAGGGGGATTATCGATTAATTCGACTACTTTCTATTCATCTTAAATTATTAAAATATTATTTCTCTTTTATTTTAAGATGTTACTGAAAATCATCATCTTTTGACTTTATTCAGTAATATAAATGAATTTTACATCATGTTGCAGTGGTTAGGGAGAAGAGAAAATAGAAATTGTAATGAAAATCTTAATATTCAATAATCAACTCATATGCCTAGATTGTATATAAGAACTTCTAAATAATTTTATCAAAAATGCTAGTTGGGGTAAAATAACATATTTCATAAAGAATAATGATGAATTTAAGATATTTATTATCTCATTAGACTATAAAAGTTAAAATTCAATATGATATCTATTGATCGTTTATATCAATAAGGGAAAATCTTTAATTTAGTCCCTTAATAGCAAATATCTATAACCAAAAAATTTTGGGGAATTTTATTATTGAAATTTAAAGAATGAGTCTAAAAACTATCTCAATCTAAGGAATTTTATTTTTGCAATAAAAATACAGCAATTTTTATTATTTGAATTAGAAAAAATATAGATGTGAGTTAGATTGCTCTCTTAATTACATCTTAATTTTGTATAATTAAATATAATTATTATATTCTAAGCATGATAGCAAAATTAGTAATTACATAGATTCAATAATATCATACAAAATAATAGATATAGTATTTAATTCTCTAAATAAAAGAAATGAAAATTATATTCTAAACAGAAAAACTTTAATTATTACAATATACATTTAAACTAAAATATATAGATTTATACCTATTTTAATAGAATAATTCATGATAAATGGATAAGTAAGTGTAGATTAAATTAGTGTATTTCTAATACTTCTAATTTATTATTCATATTTGAACATTTAATTTACTAGAATAAGATTTAAAGCATTTAAATTTGTTAAAATAATAATAAAATTAGAATTAAGAAATTCCACGGTTAAAGGAATGTCATTAATATTTTAATTTTTTTGATAGAAGTGATGTAAATTTCTTAGTGAGTAAACAAATTAATTAGAAAATATTGATTAAAGTTAAAAATAGAAAGGACTATACATTTATACTAAGAAATATTTGAATTAATACTAATATTTGTAGAGAATTTATCAAGAATAAGGATTTAGATAAATTTTATTGATGTAGTACTAAAAACAAGATCATTTATTTTTATTATTATTGTTTTATTATTTTTATTTGAACACCAGTATATATTATTTTAAATTAAATTTCAATGTCAAGGAGATACGATTAGAAAACCAATACTTTCACACCTGATGGCAGATTGAAATAAGTAGAATATGCAATTGAAGCTATCAATTAAACTGGATCAGCCTTAGGCATTTTAACAAATGAAGGAATGATTTTAGCCACAGAGAAATAAGAAGTGTCACATTTATTAGAACATTCAAAACACTCTGAAAAGATTTATCCTATTGATAGACACATATTTTCTGTTGTTTCAGGTCATACAGCTGATGCAAATATTTTAATAAATTATGCAAGAGAGGCAGCAGCTAATCATAGGTAATAAACATAAGTTATAATATAGATATTAGTTTTAAGATAATATTGGATTAGAATAATTAATTATAAATATTTGTGATTACAAATAAAACAAGACTTAAGTTGGTGGATAAAGGCCTTTTGGTACAGCATTTCTTTTTGCTGGTTATGACAAAGAAAATGGTTTCTAATTATTTAGCACTGATCCATCAGGAAATTATGCTGGATGGAAGGCTACAGCAATTGGCAAAAATAATTTAGCAGCAAATAGTTATTTGAAATAAGATTATAAGGATAATTTAACATTAGAACAAGTATTATAATTATTTATTATTATAGGGATTAGACATAGCAATTAAAGCACTTGTAAAAACTATGGATACATCATCACCATAACCATCCAAAATTGAGATTGTTGTCATTAGCAAATAAGGCAAAGAAGTAAAAAGCAAAACTTATAATGAAAAAGAAGTTTTAACTTTACTTCAAAAAAATGGATTTAGTAATGAGCAAATGTAGCAAGAGTGAAATATTATTCAAAAAAGAAATAAATTATTTGTTCATTAGATATATTACATTTTATAATTTATATTCCTTTGACTTCCAATTATTAAAACTTTAATAATTAATATGTATCAATTAAATTAAGAATTAAAGAAATAAATATAGAAATATTGATATCATAACTTTAAAGAAATTCCAATATTTTGAAGTAAACAGTCTTTAATAAAGATCTATTATTTTTGATTTGATTTCAATATTAAATATAATATTCAGTTTTGTCTCCTAAATCAAATATATATAATATACTCATAATGTTGCCATATTTTCAATTAATTATCACAAAATTAATTAATCAAGTTAGGTAACAGATGAAACTCAACATTTTTTAAATAAGGATTCGAATATTATTCAATCTACAATACTTATTCTTATTTTTTACCATAAAATTATAATAAACAATATATCATATTATATAATATTAAAAAATTGTTAAATCAGACTTTCAACATCCATAAATGATCATATAAAAATTGAGAATATATAAATAAAGAATGATTTATTCTATTAAAAAATTATTAATAATTTTTAATGCTTGAAATATCTAAAGTTGATTAGATACTCATAAAATTAACATTTTAGAAATCTATTTAACAATATTTTATTAAAAAATTCCATATATAGATTCTTGTTGACATTTTAATTCAATATTAAGAAATCAAAAATTACAAAAGGCTTGAGAGTTTGGAACTTTAAATAATTTGATTAACTTTCTTTGATAGTTAATAAAAAGGAAAAAAGTATGTATAACATATTCAGAAGAATTTGTTATAATAATAAAATTCAAATTTTAACAATATAATTAATTTAATGTCTTTAGCTAGAACAAGTTAAAGTTCAAAACATCAAAGGAAAAGTGAGACTAGATTTCAATAGTAGATAAAAGCTTTAGTTTAGAATATAAATAATCCTCCTTAAAATTTAACAAAAAAATGGATAAAAGAGAAGGAAAATGAATAAAAATAATTATTTGAAGAAGTTAAATAAAGTGAATTTGCTGGAAGAACTGCGACTCTTACACAATTAACAGAACTTGCTAGAAAAATTGCGAAAATGAGAAAAAATTTAAAAAGTGTTGCAGATGATCGTTTGAGAACTCCAGCATCAGATAAAAAGAGCAGAAAATCAAATAAATCAGGAAAATCAGTAAAAAGTTAAAGTAGAAAGACTTTAAGCAAATTATCATAATCAAGAGGTTAATTGAAAAGTATGGAATAGAGTAGAAGTAAATCATCAAAAAAAAGCACAAAAGGATTAAAATCATCAAAAACACAACAAACTCCATAATTCACAAAAAAAGCTTTTGAAAATAAATTAGGTAGTTTTTCAAAGGTTGTATAAAAAGAAAACTAAAGACCAAATGTAAGAATAACTGAATCAAGAACTTCAAAACGTATTGCAGATCGTAGCATAAGGTAAAATTAAAAAATTATTTTTAAGTAAATCTAAATCGTCTCGTTATTCTTCTAAAAAAAAAAGTAACAATAGAGAAGTATATGGTTCGTATTATGATGATGGAAGTTCAATAACAGAATCTAGTGATTCAAAAGAAATGATTAATTTGAAAGTGAATCCTAAAACAACTTTATCAAAATATGAAACATTAGTTGATAGTGAAAGAAAAGGATAAGATAATGAAATAGGTTAGTTAAGTAGAGAGGAAAATCTAATGCTTACAACAAAATTAGAATCAATTTCTAAAGAAAAGCTCTTAAGAGAATATCGTGTTTTATATTATAGAAGTAAAGAAGTTAGAAAATTATTAACTGAATATTATGAGTAGAACTTAACACTTAGTGAAGAATTAAATGAGTTAAAGTAAATGTTATGCGAAAAATAATTAGAAATTAAATAGTTAAAGAAAGATTTAAAGTCTTAAACTAAAGAACTAAAGTGTATGTAAGCTGAATATAGCACAAAATTAGATTAATTAGGAAAATCTTATTAATAATAAGAAATCAATTCTGTACCTCTAGATGATTATGATAGAATAAAATAAGAAAATGAAAAGCTTTTAATTGAAAATGAAATGTTAAATGATGATTATTAAGTTATAACTTAAAAATTACAATAAATTGAGAATGAGATTTATTAAAAGAGATAATATGAACATCCTGATTAAGATATATCACAAAGACTTCAAAGAGATATTGATTCTTATAAGGATTAGATAGAAAAGATAAGAGAAGAAAACATAAAGCTTAAATTATAATTAGACAAAGAAATGCTAAATAATAGAGAATTAGCTTAATAGATAAATTTTAAGAAAAGTGAGATAGATGGAACAGTTGAGTTGAAATAATAAGAATTAACTTAGACAAAAGCACATTTATAGGTTGCAAATTAAAAAGTCTAAAAGTTAGAATAATAGATTAATCAGATGAAATATTAAATTATAGGAGATCAAGAGTCATCTTTCTAAGTTAAAGAGAAAATATAAAGATAAGAAGAAGAATTAAGAATAGCAAATATGAAAGTTGAGAATAGAGAAAAAGAACTTAATGAATAAAAATAAAAGGAATTGGCTTTAAAAAAGAAAATAGTTGAACTAGAATAAAAAGTTGATAATTAATCTTCAACCTCTTAAACTTATTTTGAACCAAATTTTTCTATTAATAAATCAAATAATACAGAATAATGTATTAATTTTATTTAATTATAGTTATAAGTAAAGAATTGTAATTAGAAAGACAATTTTTAGCAAAAACTTAAGAATAGTTATTAAGTATTTAAGTAGAAAATGAATAATTAAAACGAAATTTGAAATAGTTAGAATTAGAATTATCTTTTGAAAAATAATCAAATGAATAAATTAAGGCTAGATTAGCATAATTATAGCAGGAAAAAGATATCACAATTTAAAGAGTTTAAAAGTAATTTGAGGATACAGAAAATAACAGATTGAAAGAATTACTTATTTCTGAATAATCATAAAAAAATTAAGAAAATATGTTATATAGTGCTTAATAAAGAATAAATGAATTAGAAAGTGAATTAAGAATATTGAATAAGTAAGAATAAGAACTAAAAAATTAAATTAATGATTAAAAAATATAATATGAAAGACTATAAATAAAAATGGAATAAAATGAAATAAAATTAGCAGATTTAAATGATTAAATTTATTAAGTTGAATCTGAAAATCTACATTTGAATGAAACTAATAAGTAACTTAGAATCTAACTTCAATAATTAAATAGGGAAGTTGATTAGATTGATAGAATAAAAGATAATTATAAAGTCAAATATTTAAGTAATCGATAAGAAAATAAAAAATAAATTCATTAATATCCAGAAGTATTAATTAACTAATATTTAGAAAGAAAATATGATGAGATAAACATATACAAATGAAGTTGAGAGAATAAGAAGTGAAAAAGAATAATTAGAAAGATTAAAAAGTTAAGAAGAATAATAACGTATTTAAAGAGATAAAAAACTACAAGTTATCAATGATTTACAATAAATGATTAAAGTAAATAAAAAATCATTTGATAAATGAATTAATTTTATTTTATTTTAAATTTGGATTATAATTTAAATCTATGTCTAAATCATAATTGTTTCATTTTTTATGTAATCCTTTTTTACATCCTTAATTACAATCTCTACATTAATTACAACAAGTGAAATATTCATCTCCTCCACAAGTTTTACAAGAAAAATATTTAAGTTTGCCAGAATGAAATATACATGTCTAAACTATTAAATTGTTATACTTCCTCATTGAATCCCTCTTTAAGAATTGTATTGCAACGAATACAATTCCAAAATGAACCAGATTATTTGAGCTCTTTTATTTCATCTTCAATTTCTAATATCAACATTTTAAGCTTTATAATTAATGTTTCATCGTTCTGTAATATCTACAAAAGATCTACTCCAAATTATTTTTTTTTTGGATTCAAAAATTGAAGTTTGTTGTATATTGGATTTTTAGTGATATTCATATCGAATGAGTGATCTTTGACGTTGATTAAATCTATTAAAGAAGAAAGTCTTTAGAGAATTTTAGTTTTTTATTTTATCAAATATTCCCAATCATCATTATCTATTCTTAATAATCTTTCTTCTTTTTTAAATGTGTATGTTTTTTAACTAACTTAATTTATTTTTTCAGAAACTAGAGAAAACACTTTTGTTAATTCTTATTGTTCTAATTAAGTTATTTCTAAATTAAGATAATCAAGTATTACCAAGAGTTTTTTAACATTATTAAATAATCTATTTATTAAGAAATAGATCTTAGTATTATTGTTGTTATTTGCTTTTTTTATTTTCTTATTTCATTTAATTATTTTCACCTAAAAAGAACAAAATATTATTTTATAATTTCTAATGAAAAATACAGATCTTCAATCACAAAATTAAGTAGGTTGGCTTTTAAACTTAGTGGGGAAATTTTCTACAAAAGACTTATAAAGTTAAAATTTAAAGGAGATTGGAGAAGAATATATGAAAAAAATTTAATTGAATGCTTAGCTATTATCAGGATTTATATTTACTTATGATATTTATAAACAAGAGTTTTAAGAAAAATTATTTCACATATATCCAAACATACTTATTTGTCAATCAGATAAAATATATACACATTTGATTTTAAGTAATTGCACAATAAAAAAAGAGTTAATATAATATAAAGAGGCTAAAACATATGGGTTTATCATTTCTAATAATTTTGGGAATACTTATTTGTTCTTTTCATAATTTATTTAATATAGAAATTGGTATAAATTGATGAAATAATATTGTAAATTAAATGATTTTTTTGGTAAATATAAATTGACTGAACGAATGCTTCCAGGAGTTTATCAATGTTATAAAAAAACTGTAAAATATTGTTTTGATTATAGAACAATGTTTAATTTACAGCTTAAATATATAAAATGGAAGATTTTGATTTATGTCCTGAAATAGAAGAAATTGTTCATAATGAAATATAAATGTTAAGATCAGTTAAACATCAAAATCTATTATAATTAAGAAGAGTTTATGAAGATGATTCATACTTATTTATTTTATATGAACATTTTAAAGGTGAGTCTCTTTATAACTTAATATTAAAAAATCAATTACATGAAGTCTAAATTGCATCAGTATATACTATTTATTATAATATAGATGATTTACTAGATATTATAAACCTTAAAATTTTTAGATAAACATTAATTTTATCATGGAAATTTGAACCCTCTAAATATAATTATCAACTCTAATAATCAATTGTTATAAATAATACTAATTAATTTATCTTTTAAAGTACATTTTTTAATTATAATTATAGTAATATAAAATAAATGATAAATTAGATTGGATTTTGAACAGATAAGTAGAAGGATTCATAGCTCCTGAATTTTATTTAGGATTCCCTCCTAATATTACATCAGATTTGTATAGTTTAGGAGTATTATTATATTTTATGGCATTCCCAAAATAATTACCTAATGAATAATACTTTGAAAAATTTGATATAGATATGAACAAAATAAAAAAATTGCATGAAATAAAAACTTAATAATCAATTGATTAACTATCATGTTTGGATTAACAAATTGAAAAAAATATAAGTCTAAGTGAATTAGATTTATTGGTAAAATTGCTAGAATAAAATCCTAGTATTATATCTATAAATAATAGGTAAGAGAATTTAAATATCTGATTGTATGATGCACCATTGGTTTGTAAATATTAAAAGTAAAATAAAATAATTGAATGTTGTAAAAAAAAAGAAAGTTATTCTTCCTTCTCTTAAAACTATAATTGAATTGAGATCTTAAAGTGAATTAGAGATAAAAATTTAATCATAATTATCTAATAATAATAGAAGATAATCAAGATTGACAATGAATCAAGGAGAAGATTTTGATTTAGGTAAAGTATGAAAATATTTAAGTTAGTTCCTGATGAAGGACACCCTTTATAATAAATTGCAGAATTAGATTTTTGTTAATTATTAAGAAATAGTAACTAGTCTAGAAAAATATGATTTTGAGTAACAAATCAATAATGTGAGTATTCATATTGAAAAACCATAAATCACTATTTTAGATTATCTTCCTTTTTGTATTTTTTAATATAAATATATATATAAAATGGAATTATATTATTGTTATAAATATCAATAAATAAAAATAAATCTTAGTGTCTTAAATTATTCTACTAAACAAGAGAATAAAGGGATATATTTATTTTTATTAATTTAAATTAAATTGAATATATAATTTGTTGTAAATAAAAAGTTAGCAATTCAACTGAGATTTAGAATTTCTTTTTCTATTTTTTATATATCATTTATTAACTTTTTTTAATAATCTGATAGGTTCTCTTTTGAGTTTGTTTTTAATTTTTTCTTTTATAGTTTTAAATCAATTGATATAACTTTTACTGATTCCTTAGTCTGTTTATGTTGTTTACTATTTTTTGTATTGAAATGCACTTAATAGTTGCTATTCTGGATTTAAAATACTTGAATATTATTAATAGGTTCTTCAATTAACCTTTAAGTGGAGGCTTCAGTGTATTTGATATTTAGAAGTCTAAAAGGAGAACATTAGACATTAAATGCAGTGTTTTGAATCTTAGTTAATGCTAACCGTTAACTATTATTACTAATTTACATATAAATTAATTAATAACTATCATTCATGAGCTAATTATTCTAAATCATCTGCATAATTTAATTCGAAACATTAAAATTGCCTTGAAGATAGACATGGTGTGTCTCTACTTTCTGTTTAATTTAACTTATTTATCATTTCCTCTAATGTTTTTAGAGTTATAGGTTTAATATAGACTTCTTTCATTCCAGCGTCAGTTAAATTGATTAAATCATCTTCTCCAGAAAATCCAGTTAATCCAAAAATAGGAATTTAGATTCTTGATTAATCTTTAAATAAAAACTTTATTTTTTAAGTCGCTTCTTATCCATTCATTATTGGCATTTGATAATCCATAATAATTGCCTTATAGCCTTAACATTTATGTTCATCAAATAAAGAAATACTAGTTTCAATTAGATGAACACATTATTTTCCATTATCAGCTTTTATTGATTGATATCCTAATTATTTAAGTAAAGATTCCAAAACTAATAAATTATATGGTTCATCATCAACAATTACAATTTTTTATTCACAAGTACAACCAGAACTCTTAAACAAACTCCCTTCCATATTTCTATAAAAACTAGATATATTATTATTAGAGATCATTTATACACTTCCTTTTTTATTAGTCATATTTATATTATTTGATGAAGATTTTTTTGTTTTATTAATCATATTGGTTCTACTGCTATTTTCTGGATCTGTCCAAATATTAAATTTAAAAGATTGACTCTCAATATCTAGAATCTTCCCTTCTAATTCAATCTATGAACCTTCTTTATTATATAAATCACTAGGCATGAATCCTTCTGTTAATTGTGTAATTCTACATTTCACATGAATACAAACTGTAGTTCCTTAATCTTCTACTGAATCTATTGTTATGTAATTATCTTCTTCTTTTCCACTAATATATTTTATTAATGCATTTGATGCTCTCAATCCTAACATCATACCTGAAGCAGAATCTCTATCTAAATCTTAGAATGATTTCTCCTCATTTTTTAATAAATTTTATATTGCTTCTAATTTCTATTGATCAATTCCCATTCCACTATCTCGAATTTCGATTATATAATATTCATATATATGAGTATTTGTTTATTATGGTTATGCATTTGAAAATGAACTTGGAGGATTTATAAATTATTATTTAAATATAGTGTTTTTTCTTAAAGGAAAATGAAATGAGCTCTCATTTAAATCTTGAGAACTTCTATATAATTGAGAACCATAAGAAGGTTATATAGTTTTCTTCTCATTTTCTTTATTATGTATTATCTTATCCTTTTCTTAAATGCCCTTTGTAATTGTAATATAGATTTATCCACTTTTATTATTAAATTTTATACTATTCGAAATTATATGGATCAAAATACTTTAAAATTTCTCATAATCCAAATTTTCATTTTATACTTAATTTATTTGTTTTTAAAATATTATTCTAATGTTTTTCATTTCAGCCTCTTCCTAAAATAAATCTATTGCTTCTTATATAACTGATAACAATTTACATTTCTCTATTTTTGTTACCAACTTCTTTTCTCTTATTAGATTATAATTTATTATTGAACTAATTATCAGATTTTAAATCCTACAATTATTAAATGCAGCTCTTAATAACTTATTTGTTTCTTTATCATAATTTAAGCTATTACATTAAATTACTTACAAGAAACCTTAAATCACATTTAATCTAGTTCTTAATTCATGAGAGATGGAACGAATTACCTAACTTTTGAATTAATTAAGCTTCTTGTAATAAGAAGATTTAAAATTTGGAGATACATCATAAAGATTTAAAAGAATTGCATTTTTATTTAATCCATATTGTAATTTAGTTTTAATTCTAGCCTCTACTATAATAGGATATTCATTTCCATAATTCTAATTTTCATATTAACATCTTAATGTATATATACATCCATATGTTTATTTTTCTAAGTTCTTAATCAACTTTAAGGCTTAATTTAAATTTATTTAGTTTTAATCAGTAGATTCTAATTTAGAATCAAGTCTATCTAAACTATTTGAATTAAATTATTCCTTAACCTCTGATTATGGTAAAGTAAGATTTTCAAAAAATGACACTATTTCACTAGAAGCTGAGCTTAAAATAGATTCTTATGAGGGAAATCCTTATTTATTTGCAAGATTAATAGATTTTGTACCTGAAAGACCTCCAAAATTCAAAGAATTTATTAATCTTTTAGTAAAATTATTAGTAAATAGAACATCTTAGCAATTCTAATCTAATACACAAACAGCACTTGGAATACTTTTCAGAGTTTGATCAGTAAATTATGAAACTTTGCTCAAATTTATTAATTGCTAATCCCAGAGGTACAATATCAAAATTATAAAAAATAAGATATTAATGGATTGTAAAGTCTGAAAATGGAAAGTGATCCCTCTAACAAAATAATAAACATAACATTTCAGTAATATCATAATTCTTAATTTTATTGTTCTAACTATTACCAAAACAAGTAATAAGTTTATAAACAACTAACAAATTGTTAATTCTCTATTCTCTATCTGATTAGTTAGATAAACTTCGATCAAAAACATCTAAAATGATGTTTCAATCAGAATAAATGTAAATATGATAAGTCTCAATTTATAAGATTCCCTTATATAATGAATAATTCTTTCAACAACACCTACATATAAAACTATAGCAACAAGTTATATATAAAAATAAAAAGTTGTGTAAGGCTTATTAAAAGTAGAGAAATATAAAGAGTTGTAAATAATTATGTATATAATTCCAATTATAGCATAAAATTTCACCAAAGTAATAAAAGTTGGCCATATTTTTTAAAGTATCAATTAATTATGTTAAGCACTATATCTCTCATTTCGATAATCATCTAATGTTGTTGATATTAAGTCTTTTAATTTTTTTATATACATATAAAAAATTATTCATTCAAACTTGTTAGCTTGTTGCAAATAACAAAATTATTGTTTTCAAAATATTATTTATAATAGAGATAGACAATTATTAAGATATGAAGATTTTTATATATAAAAATGTTTTAAACAAGAAAGTTAAATATTTATACTTTATTATAATATTATTTCTTCAATCATAATAGACTCTTCCAGTCATCATATTATAGAAATTTTCAAAGGTTACAAAACCATCATCATCAAGATCGGCTTTTCTAAATATTTTTTTTATTTCTTCATCGTTTAAATCATCTCCTAAATCAACTGAGACTCTTTTCAATTCATCCCATGTAATTCTACCTATACTCACTTAATAAGATATACCTTCACGATTTAGATCAAACAAATTAAAAGTTCTCATTAAAGAACTTCTTGTCTCTTTTAAGTTTTATTTAGCTGTAGCCAATTTAATAAAATTATCAAATGAAAATCCTCCTTAATTGTCTTGATCAATTTCTCCTAAAACCTAATAAATCATTTTATTTTGAGCTCTAAGTCCTAATTCTTCAAAAGCCCCCTTCAATTCAGATGGATCAATTGTACCACTTCCATCATCATCAAATAAATCAAAAGCTTTCTAAATATAGATAAATTTCTATAATTATTAACCTTTAATTCAATAACTTCATCTCGACTTAAATTTTATCTCACATATATATCTGGATTGAATTATTTATCCTCTTAAACTGGTTTTTATGGAGGAGGAGGTGGTGGAGGAGGCTATTAAACATTCTTCGATTCTTTTTTTGATTGTTAACGAGGATTTGATCTCATTTATTAGATTTATATAAAAATATATAATGATAATTCAAATTAAATAATTTTATTCATTTTTCATATGAAATAATATATATATTCTCTCTATTAATTCAGAATTCTAAGTTTTAATACTTTCTCTTTTAATTGAATTTTAAGGGTAAATTTGAAAATTTAATTTTTTAATCCTAATTACTGGCATCATATCCTTCTTCACATTCTTTTTCATTATATATTCTACTTCTTTCTTATATTTTTAATACTTTGATTATTTTATAGTTGCTTTATTTTTATTTTATTCATCCTCTAGTTTATACATTGTCTTTATATAAAAGATACTAAATTTATTAAAATATAAATTACAACACCTCCTCTTTCTATCTTTGATTTAAGTTTCACATTCAAATCAATTATTAATAATCTAAGTTTGATTGATTTAAATACCTGATTGATATTGATCTTAACTTCTTTAATTGTATAATTTATTGGAATTTAAAAGTCCTATTCAATTCCTTAATTTAAGAGATAGTTTTTGATTCATAAAAATAATTAAGATTGTGCTGAGCAAACATCAACTCTGAAATGTTGCAATCCTATTTTAATTAAATAACTTATGAAACTATATTTGTCTTTTGTATTAAATATAGTTTGATAAGTTTTCTATGCTGTGAGGTTATTTAAATGATTATATATATTCTAGGATTAAATTAAGAAATAGTACTATATATAATGAAAATAGAGACCTGAATAATTTAAGTAAAAATATATAATTATGTTTAATTTATAAAAGATATTAATCTTAAATCATATAATATATTAAATAATAAATAAATAATCATTACAAAATCTTCAATCACTACTTCAAGATATGTTGATTTATAATAATAACTTAGTTTTCCAAAGCTGAAAACATTTTTGCAGTTGAATTTATTATATCGAATAATTTGTTAAGTTTTGAAAAGATTTTAATCATCATCCTAAACATAAAAATCAGAGCTTATTGTTATAAATATGGCTACTGTACTCATTAACCCCCTCTTTTCTTATTCATTCAGATCAGTAAAGGAATATCTGTTGATATTTTTAATAGTCTTTTCAGCCAATTAGGGTTACTTAGGTGTATAATTATTCATATCAATATTCAGACTACGTCTATCTTTTAATAATATTTGATAATGAAAACCTTTCAGAATTAATCTATTAAACTTTCTTATGAACTGAGCTTCTCTGCTTACAAGTTCTCTACTTAATTGTATTTTGCATGAACAATAAGTTGAATCTTAATCAGAAAAGAAATAATATATAATAATAATAATTTTGTATTAAAATTAGTATCATTTGGTATAAGAATATTATAAAGTAGTATTCAAATGATTTTTTTTTGAATATTTGTTATTTATAATATATTGAATAGTAAGTAATATTACTCATTTTATTTTAAGCTTGAATCTATTAGTTCTATCTGAGAGAATATCTCTTGTTGTTTTTTCTTCTTAAACCATTGTACTTAGAAAAGGATTTGAAAATCTTTTGGATTCAGGAATTTTATGAATTTCTATCTTATTAATTATTTATTATGAATTATTGCGTCCATGTTTAAGATCAAAGTATATTGGACTCTAAACTCTTTCAGTTTAACAACTTTAATCTGCAGTTTAGGGTTGTATTTATGAAATTATAGAACTCTTATTGCTCAAATCACAAAATCTTACTTCTGATCCTCTATATGTAAATGATTTATCTTAATTTTCTTTTTCAACAATAAGTCCTTTGATTTAATTTATTATTATTTTCTATTTTCTCATATTTGATGCTATTTATTACTCTACATTTTAAACAATAACTTTAGTTTCCTACTCTTTTTATACATTTTAATATAAAGTATTTAAGTTTTTATGTAATCCATTATTAATAACAAAATAGCTATTTAATTACTATTCAAGATTTTAGATTTCAATTGATATTGATCTTTTAGGCTATTCAATTTAAATCTAAGTTATAGCCTAAGTCAATTGAGTTTTAATTGCACATGCTTATTGAGCATATTTCAAAGTATTTTCAGTTTCTTCACTAAATTATTTACTTATACATGCAATAAATAGAGTCATAGAATTACCGCTCAAAGATTATTTTAATATTCTTGTTAATTTAGAATTTCTATAAGGAATGTGTGATTTACATTAATTTAACATCATAATACATTATCCTAATGCCAATAGAGATTTATTAATATTTTAACCTTCTTATTAAATCTTCTATGTTCCTCCATTTTTATAATTATAACATCTTTCACTACCTGCCAAATCAGCTAATATTAATTTACCATCATATTTAATATTTTATTTCTCATCATAATTCACTACTTATATTTATACTATAGCATGTGATCTAGAAGAATATTAATTACTAGCAGTTGAAGCTAATTATCTTCGTTTTTATGCTTATTATATTAATTAAATAAGATGATCTTCATCAACTATACATTATTATGATAAACCAGGAATTTAAGTGTCTCCATTTTTATCCTCTTAAACCTAAAGATTTTATGCATTTTATTCTAACAAATCAATAATCTGTTCATTATATATTTCATAAAAACTAATTTTTATAAATCCATTTTTCTTTAGTTAAAAAAGTTCTTTAACTGCTTAATATACTATGCCATAATGATCCTTTAATTTATTATTTTATTACATGTGAGTTCCCAAACATTGTATGAGTTTTCCCAGATCCTGTCATACCATAACATAAAACTGTCATATTGAAACCTTCAAATATTTTACTTATAAATTTTGATAAAGTCTACTAAATTATAAAATAATACTCCTTCATAAACTGATAAATTGGAATCATTTTCAGTAAATATTTTCTGAAAACTCATTTCTCTGTTTGATATTCTAAGCTAATTATATAAATTTAATAGTTACTATATTTTCATTAACAACTTCGATTGAATTACTAGTATCTTAATGGGAGCGTATACGAACAAAAACCTAAAAAGGTTGGTTGATTTTCATATAAAATTTATTTAACGTATATATATAATATAATATTTATATAATTAATACTTAATATAAGAAAATTGCAAGTACGTTCATCTTCATATACCTTTAATTTATATTCTTAAACAATACTATTAATATTTATTACAATGAAACATAACTATTTCAATATTATTATATAATAGTTAAATCAAAAAGAATCTATATCAAAACAACTATGCAATAATTCTCTCCTCCTTTTTTTTCATTATTAAATTTGTATCCTATTTTTATTTCTATTATCTTTCATTTTAATAGCTTTCTAACGGTTTTTCTAAGAGTTCACTTTTATGTTTTTGTTATAGACATTTACAAAATAAGTAAAACCTTTCTTTATCATTTAATTTCTTTTAAAGCAAATCTAAATCAGATAACAATAAAAATAAGCAATCAATATGTTTTACTGCTTTTTCAATTTAATCTAACTTAAGAGTTGCAGCAAATTAGAAATTCAAATTCTTATCTTTAGCAAGTAATTATTGAATAAATTAATAAATTCTAATTTCTATTTTTTAAGGATCAATCATTTTTTATATGCATTAAATTAAAAATTAACATAGAAGTAATTTCTATTTAATATTATTAATAAAATTACTAAATGTTATAATATTGGTTATTTTGCAGTTCTTTCAATATGGCTTAATATAACATTTAAAGATTCTAAAATTAACCTAATATTCAATTTTAATAATATTACATATTATAATTTGGATCTAATAATGAAGAGTAATCAATAAAAAATACTTTAAAGAAATCTGGATAATCTAGAAATAGATTTTATTTCATCTTGATTTCTTTATTAATAGCATTTTCAATTATAAAATTACTTGTATGTCTTTTTACTAAAGAGAATAATGCTTTAATAAGAAGTGGTTAATTAAAATTTAGATTATTGACAATAAATTCTTGATTATCAAGTTTGATCATTTTTTGATTTACTAAAGAAGTGAATCTACCCCAAATTTTATCATTAAAACTTTTAGTTTAAGTCCATTTCTCAAAAAATATATATTCTTCTTTAAATTAAATTTCTTCTGGAGCTTTTAAGATTCCTAAATTAAGAATTGTGTCATTTGAAAAATTTAATTATATTAATATATCAACAATTTTTTTCTTATCATCACATTCCAATAAATAATTAAGTAAATTTTCTATACCTTTATTAATTGTTTATGATCTTTTAATAGTAATAGCAATTAACTTTGTATCAAAATTACATAAATCTTCAAATTTTGGATTGATTCTTAAATGATATGATACTAATAGGCTCAATTTAGGATAATATTATAATATTAAATCAAGTTCATATTATTATATTTATTCATCAAAAATGAGTGAAAGAGATATAACTTCTTTTTTAGTTTAATAATTCATTAATACTATATCTAATGATGAATTAAGAAATTAAGTATTTTATGTATTAAAGATTAAGTTAAGAAGTGGTAATTTTATTTAAGGATTTATTAAAAATGACATAAGTTAGAAAGGAAACAAATTAGGATCACTTCTATTTAAAAATTGTTGAGCTTCAATTTATGATATTTCCTTTCTAAGATACCATAACAAAACTATTTCTGAATATAGTTAATCAGGTGTTTAGAGTAATATAAAATTGGAAACATTATGAGATAATAATCTTCCTTATAAAAATTCCTTTAGAATAATAAGTTTAGCTTTTTGTTGTTCAAAATTTTGAATTAATGATAGTGTTTTGTGATGGAATCCTCTATTTGGACAAATAATTGTATAATTATTCATAATATAAAAATAAATATTAAATGAGTTCAAGGTAAATAAACAAATTAAATCTGATTTGAATCAACTTCAATTGATTAGTTTTTAAATTCTATAATAACTTTTGATGATTTAGTAGTTTTAAGTATACTTTATTCTGATTTTGTTAATTAATTGAATTTAGGAAAATGTAAATTACCAATATTTGTGAGATATCCATAAAGTGATATTAATAATTTACGATGAATTGTATTTTCATATGAAAAAAGTGCTCTCTAATATTTAAGTAATAGATATATTAGATTTCTTGATTAATTGATTTTAAAAACTCTAGGTGATTAACGTTTTACTATAGTTTCTACATTTGTATCAGTATATTGATATAAATTCAAATCACCATCTTAATTTAATCTAGGTTTAAATGAAATTCCTAAAATTTACTATTTATATGAATGTTAATTATACCTAAAATATTTCACATGCTTAAGCCATAAATGCAGGAATTAGTAAAAATTAACACACTAAAATATAAAACATAATAATAAAAGCAGCAAAAAAATGACCTTTTTATACAAATCCTTTAGATAAACTACCATCCCAATCATCTAAAGTTAAAGTTTACAAATAAATAAGTAATGTATCTAATAAATTTATTGATTCAAATGAATGATATGAAGATTTAATTATTCCCATAACAATTAATGTTAAAATAAGCATAAGGATATATGGAGAAAGGGAAGATGATAAAACTCTAATGGCAATATAACTAATATCTCTAATACTTGGATTTGTTAAGATTTTAAACATTATAAGGATTGGACTGTATTTAATTTATTGAGTAGTTATCAATTCGAAAAGTTAATAACAAAAAGCAATTGGTCCTGAAAGTACATGAAATGTAAGTTAAATGTTAGAATAATATGAATTATATGCTTCAATATCTTTCAATACTATTACTGCAATCCAATGTAATGTATAAATGAGTGATACAAATATATGAAAGCAAATATAATGAAAATCATTATTACTATTAAGTTTATTCTACATATTTGCATAAAATAATTGAATTATCCACACAAGAAGAACAATTCTTGATTATTATTTTCCAAATATTATTGAATAATATTTTTAAGGTAATAAATTTTATGATCTACGAGATATAGATTATTCATCAATATCTACTTTTCCTTATTTAACTAATTCATCTAATATCATAACATCAATTTAAAATGCTTAAATTAAAAACCAAAAAAACATTGCCAAAATAGTTATAAAAGAGAATATTAAAACTATTACTGAAATACCAGTTTTTGGTAATAATTATTTAGTTATATCACCCCATCCATCTATAGTTAATATTTATAATAAAGTAAATGCACTAACTCCTATATTCTTAAAATAATGTCTATTAACATCACAATAAAGAATGGTACATAAATATGTAAATACAAAATAAATTACTATTGATGTAAATATTAAAGGTAAACTATTTACAAAAGTATTATAAATATCAGATAAATTTTACTTTTAAAAATTAGTTGCAAACAATTTTAACGATTTTAATATTATTGAAAACCAGCAAAATTAATGAAATTACATAAAATATGCAACATTCAAAAATAATTAAACTGGACCACTTAGCAAATGCAAAATTATATTTATATGAAAATCACTCTCCATCTTCTTAACTCTTAATAATTTAAGATATTTATTTACTTGTAATAACTATCATATATATAATAAAGACTTGTTAAGAAATCTACAAATAGTCCAATATACTTTTTATAATCATGTTATCTAGGAGAAAGCATATGTTCCAAATGAAGACTAATATTTATTATATAAGTGCCTATCATAATAAATAATAATGTTTCATTTTCCCCTCTTAATCTATATTTAGATGATAATGCTTCATTAATGACATCAATATTAGGTCTTGATTGTTTATTATTTGATCCTACATTAGCACTATTCTCTAATTCAAATTCTTTAATGATTGAATCAGCCATCCTAGATTTTGCAGGAGTTTCTATGTCTGACAATATTTCTGAATCACATTATTAGATAGTCCATTAATTTTAATCAGTTACTTAGGTCGGTTGAGTTTGTTTAGGATTGGCATAACGAAAAAAATCTTCTGTATCTGCAGAAGAACTATTCTTCTTCTTCAGTATGATTGTTTCTCTAAAATAATTATTCATTAATATAAGTAATCAGTTATTATACAATTTATCTTTTAATCTTCTTGCTATGATTTAATAATTTTTGTCTTTGATTTCTGGTAATGTATTCACAATCCTTATGTTTTCTGAATTAGATATTCTAACTCTATTATTGTTTCTCAAAGTGGAAAGAGATAATAATCGCAATTAATTTATCTTTTATACTTATAGACATTTTTATTTCTATTTAATACTCTCTATTTAATAAATAGGTTTTCTAAGTTAATCTCTGCTGGTTCTCTCTATTGGAATTGTCTAAAAAGTAGCCTTACTGAAATATTATATCAGCTTATACACATTTAAAATCTCTTTTATTTTATAAGATAATTGTTCTTAATACGTTGAACATTCATTTATTTCTATTCATTTGATCTTGCTGATAATTTTGAACAATCGCTGCTTATAGATTATCTAGATGACTATTAAATTATATCTTAAAAATTACTTAACAATAAAAACTAGACTTGATATTCACTATTTTATTAAGTAACCTTTTATTTTCTGATATAATTTCCTATTACTTTATTATATCTTTCCTTTTTGAATCCAAAAATTTATTCCTTCTACTAGATTCTATGATTTTTATATAATTCTTATCATTGTTATTTTATCTATTAGATATCTCACTTAATCTTCTCTTATGGCATGAATAACTCCTGGTCATCTATTTTATATAATTACCATTCTCTGTATTCCATTTAATATTTTGTATTGTTCAATGAAAATGATTACATAATTAATATTAAATAAATTTTGTAAAAAATCTAAGAAAGAAATCAATAAGTAGTTTTAATCATAATAATCAATTAATTATAACAGGATGTAAGAGAAATATAATAAATAAAGAATATTAATTTAATAATAGTTAAAATTTTGATTATTAAAGTATAAAACAATATTTTTATATTTAAATGCTAAAAGTAAGGTAGAATATTTCAAATAATCTTAAATCAAATCTTTTTAGTTTTTAAGATTTCAAGCATTTTTTTCTTATATATAATTATTATATTTGTTAATATAACTAACAAAATATACAGAATTTTAGATTGTTTTAGTGGTTGTAAAAATAGTTGAATCTGGAACTATTAGCTAATTGAATATCCACATTTATAACATATATAAATATTCAAAAGGAATGTGGATTTTAATTAAATAAGAAACTACAATCATTAGATATGAGTGTATGTTTAATTAAGCATATTCAAAAATAAATGTTGAATAATAAGAGTTGATTCAAAAGATTAATAATTTATTTGAAGATTGGAGAATGATATTTATAAAATTAAGATTTAATTTATTAGAATATCTAGAAATTTCACCAAAATGTACCTTAGATATTACAGAATAGTTAAGAGAACTAGATTAAGAATTAAATATTTAATTTATTTATTAAATTGCCTTTATTTTTATTTCATGTCCAAAAAGGGCAAGAAAGGTAAAAAAGGAGAAGACAATGATGAATCCACAACTTAAATCATGAGATTTTACAATAGAAAGATTTAGAGTCTTGGAGTGGCATAAAATAAAATATTTGTTTAAGCAGTTGCATAAGCATTAGAAAATCAAGAACATTTAACGACAGTAATTAATAATACAAAATTTTAGCTTCACATAATTGAAGAAATTGGACCTAATGCAATTAGAGGTATTTTTGAAGCATTAATGGATCTTAAGTATAAATTAAATTCAAATATAGTTATAAACATTTGGCAAATATTTGGCTAATAAAAGCAGGTTTAGGATTAAACAATAATGAAGGTGTTAAATATTTGGCAAATTATATATAAAAAGCTCAAAATACTAAAGTCTTGGATTTGACAGAAAATGAAATAACTCCATAAGGTTGCGCTTATCTTGGTTATGCTTTATCTCCTGCTTTCAAGGTTCCCATATAGGAACTTATTCTTGACTTTAATTATATTGGTTGTGAAGGAATGAAAGAATTGAGTAAAGGATTGGAGATGAATAGTAAAATCATATTTTTTATAATTATTTAGCCACAATTAGAAAGCTTTCTCTAAATTATTGTAGATTAGATTTAGAAAGTGTTAAATATCTTTAGGATATTCTATCCTTTTTAGATTGTGATTTAAGATATTTATTTTTAGAGGGAAATTATTTAAGAAATTAAGGGTATATGAATAATTCATATTTAGTGTGTATTAATTGTTTAGGTCTTTAGAAACTAATGAATGGTTAGAAGAATTAAATATTGCAAATAATTAATTTGGGGAATCTGAAGATGTTCCACTTATTGAAAAAATATGTGAAGTATTAACCAAAAATAATTCTATCTAAGTTTATGATTTTAGAGGAAATGCCTTATATGATGATTGTAATAATAATAGTTATGTAATAGCTGCAAAGAAATTTCTTGAGTGTATCAAAATGTATAAAACAGTTTGTAGATTAGAAGTTCCTATCGAAATTTAAAATGCTATTCTTGAAGAAATTAAAAAAGTTACAAAAAAAAGAAAAAGAAGAAAGAATAAAAAGAAGAAATCTAAAAAAAAGAAAAAAGCAAAAAAATGATTATAACCATTATTAATCATATTAAATTGTTATATATATATTAATAATCTTCTAAAAATAATTGAAAATAGTAATACATAAAAATCTATAAAAAGATATAATTTATATGTGATTATATTAATATAACAAGTATTAATTTAATTAAGAGTTATATTCAAATTTTATATCTACTATTTATTAAATAAATATTTTTAGTTATTAATTTCTATTACTATAATATCATTTTAGCTTAATACAAACTTTCATTTTGAGAATAGTTTTAGAAATTCTTAATACGAAATCTTTCCATCTTTGTTATGATCAGTTTCTTATAAGAATAATTACCAAACATCTTAGTTTAATGTTCCCATAACATCTTCTACTTCTTATTTTGTAATATATCCATCCCCATCTAAATCAAATATGCGAAACGCTTATTCAATCTTCTTTTACGAAAGGATTTTAGATTGGTTAATGGAGGCCATAATGAATTCTATCGATTATATGATATTTTACCACTATAATCTATTTAGCCTGATAAGTTTTTATCAATTTCTTCTAAAATTCTTTCAGCTTATTATTCAGCTTCCTCTTAATTTTTTATTATTCTTTTATAACCTTGAATCAATTCTTCTTTACTAAGAACACCATCTCTATTTATATCTAAAGATTGAAAAGTATGTTATAAATCTTCAATTTCTTTATGATTAGTCATTTAAGATATTATATATTAAACAATAGCTGTTCTGAATTCACTTGTAGCTTGAAATTGAGATAAATTATCTAACACTTTTTTATTAATAGGTTAATTTGTTGTATGTTTTTAAAACCAAGGATCACTCAAAACTTAGGATGCAGAATATCTTAAATTCACATCCACTTATATCATCTTTTATATTAAATGTTTTGCCTCTTTTGATATGAATTCCCATTCCTCATCTAAATTTTTAATTTAATAAGTACTTGGAAATTTTAGTCTGCCTTATTTAACTTTTTCGAAGATTTCTTATTCAGTTTTTCCTGTAAATGGTGGATAACCACATAAGAGAATGTATAGAATTACTCCACATGACCAAATATCACATTTTTCTGTATAATTATGTCCTAAAACTTCAGGTGCAATATAATAAGGCTATTATAATTTATTATATATTATACAGTGCCCAATCTTTTAGTCATTTTTGAAGTATTAAATCTACGAGAACATCCAAAATCAATTATTTTAAGATTTTGGTCAGGTTCAGGACCTGAAAAAAGAACATTTTCTGGTTTTAAATCTCTATGTACAATTTTTTATTCATGACAATAGTTAATAGCAAGTAATATTTAACGAATTAATTCACTTGCTCTTTTTTCTGTAAATACTTACATTTTTTTAATTCTTTCAAATAATTCTCCTCCAGATAAATATTCAGTTATCATATAATAATTATTTTAATCTTGATACAATTCATATAATTTGACAATATGAGGANTTTAAGATTAATGAATAATTGTGCTTTTACTATAATATCATTTTAGCTTAATACAAACTTTCATTTTGAGAATAGTTTTAGAAATTCTTAATACGAAATCTTTCCATCTTTGTTATGATCAGTTTCTTATAAGAATAATTACCAAACATCTTAGTTTAATGTTCCCATAACATCTTCTACTTCTTATTTTGTAATATATCCATCCCCATCTAAATCAAATATGCGAAACGCTTATTCAATCTTCTTTTACGAAAGGATTTTAGATTGGTTAATGGAGGCCATAATGAATTCTATCGATTATATGATATTTTACCACTATAATCTATTTAGCCTGATAAGTTTTTATCAATTTCTTCTAAAATTCTTTCAGCTTATTATTCAGCTTCCTCTTAATTTTTTATTATTCTTTTATAACCTTGAATCAATTCTTCTTTACTAAGAACACCATCTCTATTTATATCTAAAGATTGAAAAGTATGTTATAAATCTTCAATTTCTTTATGATTAGTCATTTAAGATATTATATATTAAACAATAGCTGTTCTGAATTCACTTGTAGCTTGAAATTGAGATAAATTATCTAACACTTTTTTATTAATAGGTTAATTTGTTGTATGTTTTTAAAACCAAGGATCACTCAAAACTTAGGATGCAGAATATCTTAAATTCACATCCACTTATATCATCTTTTATATTAAATGTTTTGCCTCTTTTGATATGAATTCCCATTCCTCATCTAAATTTTTAATTTAATAAGTACTTGGAAATTTTAGTCTGCCTTATTTAACTTTTTCGAAGATTTCTTATTCAGTTTTTCCTGTAAATGGTGGATAACCACATAAGAGAATGTATAGAATTACTCCACATGACCAAATATCACATTTTTCTGTATAATTATGTCCTAAAACTTCAGGTGCAATATAATAAGGCTATTATAATTTATTATATATTATACAGTGCCCAATCTTTTAGTCATTTTTGAAGTATTAAATCTACGAGAACATCCAAAATCAATTATTTTAAGATTTTGGTCAGGTTCAGGACCTGAAAAAAGAACATTTTCTGGTTTTAAATCTCTATGTACAATTTTTTATTCATGACAATAGTTAATAGCAAGTAATATTTAACGAATTAATTCACTTGCTCTTTTTTCTGTAAATACTTACATTTTTTTAATTCTTTCAAATAATTCTCCTCCAGATAAATATTCAGTTATCATATAATAATTATTTTAATCTTGATACAATTCATATAATTTGACAATATGAGGATGATCAAGATTTTTTAATATATGCATTTCTTAAAATAATTTTTATTCATCCTCTTTTATTAATTCAGATTTTTTTATCTGTTTCATTGCTCTTATCAAACCTATATTTTAAATTAAATAAATATACCAGTTGTTTTATGAGTGACTTTCCATACTTTTCCAAAAGCTCCTTAACCTAATACTTATCCAAATGCATAAACCTTATTTATAGAACCTTTCTTTAAGTTGACAAATAATTCAACACCCATTCTAATAGTTAAAGAACTCATAGAGCCTATTGATTTTTTAGTTGGACTAGCACTCTAATCTTAAATTTATCTATTTGTAGTATAAATGCGAGGAGAAGTAAAAGTTGTATTATTGTATTATTCTACATTTAAGGATTCTTTTCTATTTGAATTTTTTTTTAAAGGAGATGGAGATTGTTAAGGTAAATTAAAACCAGAGTCTAGCTATATTGGACTTAATTATAATAGATTTGTTTCTTAATGATTTGTGCTTCTAATTTCCTTATTATTATTATTTATATTTTGTTATTCACTTTCAATTGATATTTTTCTTATAAGATTAATTTGACCTTTTGGTGTATTAACTTACTCCTCTATTAACTCATTTTCAGCTTTGATAGACTCCAATTATAATAATTGAATCTATTGTTTCATTGCTTCTAGTTTTGTAGGTGTTTGAGATTCCTTACCTAGTGGAAGTGGTGCTACCATTTAACTTTACTCTTATTATGAAACACTCTATTTCTATAATATCAGTGCACTTGATCCTTATTCTAAGCATAATTCTGCTATTGATAACATAATCATCTTACCATAAGAGGAACTTTAGAATTTAGTGTTACAACAAGTGGATCCCATTTTTGGTTATGTTAGTAACTTATTTAATTATTATCATTTTATAACAAAGTTATTAACATGTATCATAAACCACTATTAATTGAAATCTTTTTGAATTATGATCTTTATTAATTAATACTCATTTAAGAATTTTTTATTTATATTTTCTTACACTATATTCGAATAAAATAATCTTTATTAGTTATCTATAAACATATAACATCTTTATTAACGATTTTATTTTATTTATTAAATGTTTACATTCTTTTAATAAATTAAGAATAAATTATTTATAGAAGTAATAAATATATTTTGGCTTTTTTTGAATATTTGATTAAAAATCTAATAAACCTAATATCTCAATTTACTTTTCTAATAAGGAGATTAAGGGAAATAATTTATCTTTTAAATGTAAATTAAATTTTATTCATTTATTTGATATTAATAATTTGCATTCTATTTATTTATTATGTTCGGCTTTTCAAAATAAAAATAATACCCAAATACATAAGATCAATTATCAGGAATGTTAATTACAAAGAATGCTCCAATTAGAAATTATTCAACTTGTAAAACAATTATTAATATTAATTCAGCTACAAGAAATTCAAGAATTTCTTATTTGTCAAAATAATAATACTTTTAGAATGAAAGTGAAGATAAAGCAATCACTAGTAGAACTTTTTCAGTAAATGAAGTCACAGAATTACCTTTAATATCAAAACCAACAAATATAATCCTTAAAAGACCAAATTTCATTCCTAGACCAAAATAACAATTTAAGAAGTTAATCCATGTTTAAACTTCGCCTACTAATTTTGAATCTTAAAGAAAGTAAAAGTAGTTGAATTATATAGAGTAATTTAAATTCCCTTTAATTTGAAACTATAAATTTAAATATAGAAGCTGAAGATGTTAATATTTTATATAAAGGTTTTAGAAATTTAAGTTAATACAATAAGATATGTATAATAAGTTATAATCTTGTATATTTATATATATTATATTAGCTATTTGGTGAATATAATAGTCATTATTTTAGTAACTTATAAAATCCTTAAATTAAACCTTTAAACAATAAACATCTAATAATGAAAATTAGAACTGAATCAATATTAATTTTATAATTGAATCCTAATTAGAAACTCAATTCTTTATAAAATACTTAAATTGATTGGTTTGATTGTATTTATTCAACTAGAAACTACCATTCAAAAGAAACACTTAGTTATGAGTTAAATAAAAATAATTTATGGATCAATATCTCGAAGATTCCAAATCTATTTAAAATTCAAAATAAAATTATCAATTACTATTATATCGATATCATATATTCTGAACCATCAAATATAATTGAAGTTGATAATTTTATCAACAAGATATTATTAATTGATGATGAAAATACTAAATTATTTCATTTATTTGTCAATGCTCCAGTAAATTTTCAAATTCTTAATTAAATACTTCAGGAAATCTTTAGAAATAATTAAATTCAAGATTTATAAAAAATAAATCTGAAGTAGATTATTGAAAAAATTAGTTTTGAAATGTAATTGATTCAGATAAGAGTTAAACAATTAAAATATTTAGATGATCTTAAAATTAAAACAAAGCAACATTTTAAATAATTAAATTTAAGTCCTTCTCCATTTAGTCCTGAACAAAGAGCAGAAAAGTATATATTATAAAATATTATTAGAATGAGAAACTAAATTGTTGAATATATTAAAAGTAAATCAAATATTAAGATTTCTAATATGCATTTTGTTGTTGGTGATACCATAATGAGAAATATTGAAATGTTTAGAAATCATGAAAATGATAAATTATACAAACATTAAGAAACTGTTCAACTAATTGATCATCTTATCAAAAATAGTTTACCATAATTTTAGAATAATATAAGCAAAGTAAATTATGCATTCTATTGTTTATGATAATTACTTGATAAATTAAATCTTTTTTTAAAATATAAACAAAATGGTTAAAAACTCAGCATAAGATCCATAAGATAATTCACTCCAAATGAAAGTAAAATATTAAAGCAATTTTTGTGTAGATCAGATAATATTTGGTTTCTGGAAGAAGACTCCCATCTAAAGATGATCCAAATCCAAAAGTTATCAGCATGAGAATTTTTGCTAGAAATACAGTTGCTGCAAAAAGCAGATTCTGGTATATTGCATTATAAAATGGTTAGGTGGAATTTAAGGAGATTGAATAAGCTTAAACCATCTCATGGTTAGATCTTAGCAGTTTAAGAATTATTTGAAAGAAGAGATACAAATGTTAAAACATACGGAATTGTACTTAAATACTAATCAAGAACAACAATTCATAATATGTATAAAGAATTCAGAGACACAACATTAAATGGAGCAATCTCACAATTATGTATATTATTACATTGATATTTTTTAGATTAAGAAATGGCTGGAAATCACAGAGCCCAACCATAAACTATTCATATCCTCAGAACTTCAGTATTAACTAAAAGTGCTGATATCAAGAGAGGAAAAACTAATCAATATAGAGTATCTCTTTTATCATCATTTTTAGGGTGATTCAATCAAATTCCCAATTGTCAAAACTGTTCCAAGAGCTAGTCACAAAAAATTCAGAACAGTATTTAAAGCAAAAAGACCCAACCTCTATAGATCATGAACATCTTATTTTAGTACAATATTCATCATATAATAATATTTAAATATATATCTATTTATCTAATTACCTAAACAATATATGTTTTAAGAAAACCAAAATTATCTATCAAAATCTTCATTATTTTAATTCACTTCTAAATTATTTGGTAACATCAATTCATTTATTAATTCTATATCTTTTTTTCCTCTTTTTGTTCTCAAAATTTCAACTACTTTTTTAATTTATCCAAATTCAGTTATATAATAATATTATCTTGATATATATCCCTACAAACGAATCCTTTTCTATGCAATAAAATTAAAAGACTTAGTAGTTACTTAATAAATTATATAATATATTTTTTACCTATAATGCAACTATAATTTCCTCTTTTTTCATTTTATATTATGAATTCATTATCTCTTTTAAACTTCTTCCTTCTAAATGTTCAAATATAATATAAAATTTATCATTTTTTATGAAATACTAAGAAATTGATATCATATTTTTGTTTTAAAGATTTAAAACTTCTAATTCTAACATAAAATCCTAATATAAAGCTTAAAATTTATAAAAGTATATTATAATTAAGACTATTTGATGTCACTTTAATTTGATAAGGTCTTTAATCGATACAACTATGAACATGTATAATCTACAATAGCATTCATAAATATTATATATATTACTGTATTTTGAGATTGCTATTTGTATATGTTTTACACTATTAAACATTTTGACTAAATTATTATAGGAGACTTTTCCATCAAAAATACTTTTAAGTTATAAACAATTATGATAATCCACAATCATTATTTTCATCTTTTAATTCCATCTAAATTTGAATCCAATAAAGCAATTTCTGTCTCCATATATCCATGAAATTATAGTTGACAATTCTAATCGTATTGAGTATTTTATTTATTGTGCATTCTAATGATTTTTATTTATGTATACTTTTCCTATAAGAATAGAGTTCTCTTTTAATATATGAAATATTCAGTATCTCTAAAGAATTGCTTACTTTTACACATCATTATATTAATTAAAATAAACAATTTTATTCTGAATTATTTTCAAATAAATGATAAATCAAAAATCTTAAAATTGAGATTATATTAACTTCATTTAATTTTAATTCTTTTTTTTTTTTATAAAAATAATATTAAAATCAATACAATATAAATAGCTTAAAAATAATTATAATAATCTAAAATAATATTCTTCAATAATTAAATATTGTTTAAAATACTCATCATTTAATACATTATTTAAATATATATTATAATTAATAAGAGAAAACAATAATTGATTTTCATGAAATTTATATCTTTAAAATTTAAATCTAATAAAATTTTATGAATTTAAGCTTGTATTTTTATTATGTAAATATAATTATAATTAGATTTTATAGTCAATTTTTTGTTATTAATTTTCTAAAATTTGGTATTTCTTGAATATGATCATGCGAATAATGCAATTAAGTAGACAGTGAAGTACTTGTTGGGATCTTCATTAATTTAAAATAATTTAAAGCTTGTCCTGCATCAATTCTCTAATCAGGATCTTCAGTTATCATTTTTTAAATTAAATCTCTATAATTTTGTGAGCTTATATTTTTAAGAATTTAATTATTTAAAGTAAAAAATTTGTTATTTTGATATAGTTCTTATTAGTTAGATCCAGATATTAACTTTTATCCTGTTAACCTAATTAATAAATTTAATTATTTACATATAATAGATTATGGCTCCACAACTAAACACATCTATTTTTTATGATATCCTTTTTTTATTTTTCCTATATAAAATCTCTGGTGCAATATAACCAGGAGTTCCAAAGTTCATTTATAAATCATTTTATAAATCTATAATCTAGCATGAGATTCCAAAATCAATAAGCTTTAGATTTTAAAATTGTCCCAATTCACAAAAAAGGATATTATCAGGTTTTATGTCTCTATGAACAAAACCTTTTCCATGTAAATAACAAAGAGCTTCTAAAATTTACTAAATTTAAAAAAAGATAATACTTATGTTATAACTTCTACCTCAATTATTGACATCCTACAATATTTGAGGCATTGACTGAGAGTTCCACCTTTTAAATATTCTAATACTATTAAATAAGAAGTCTAATTTGTGTAAGCCTCTATCAACTTTATGATGTTTTAATGAGTCAATTATGACAAAGTTTAAACTTCGTTTTGAAATAACTAAAATTTTGGAATATAATCCTACTTAATAAGAGTATTATTTCTCTTTATTTAACTCCTTGCAAACATAAATAATATTATTGTCTATTCCTTACATTGTGTATATCTAAGTAATAATAAATAAGAGTAAAATACCATGGTTTAGTCTTTTGTCTCTATTTTCCCTATTTATGTGTAGAAATAATCTATGTTTTTAAAAGTCACTCTTCCTGCAAGATAATTCTTTACTCTGAGAAGAACGTTCTAATCAGCATAAAAGTATCTCTATTAATTTTTCCAATTTATGGAAAAAGCAACTAATTAGAAATCTTCCTAGGAGATTTTCCAATCAATTAAACTTTATAGTTTCAAAGGAATTGAATACTTTGTATGTTAAGTAGACTAAGTTAATAATCATTAAATTACTTCTCCTATATTCATACTATCTTGATTTAATGTGATAATATAGCTTTTATCAAAAAGGAGATGTTTTCTTGTACAATACATCGATATGATTATTAATAAAAAAAGAAAGAAAGATTTTCTCTTTAAAAATGAAAAATTATCAAATAACGCAAATCTTAGTAGAGCATATTATAGGGTCTTTTCTGTTTTAATGAAAATTCAAGTTTTTTATAGGAACAATTATTTACAATTGAAGACATTTTCACTTAACTAGATGACCTGAAATTAATTAATAATAATTTTATAAATCAAATAATAAATAATTAATTAAGGCATAAATACTGAATAATTGTTTCTTTGTTTGATTTTGAAAACAGCTAGTATGTATTGATTCTTCTTTTAAAAGAGTTGAAAAAATACAATATATCAGTTGGTAGCAGCTTATTTAAATATTTGAGGTATATTAAAATTATTAATTAAATTAATTACTACTTTAAATATAAATATTTATTTAATAATTAAATAATATTAGAATTCCATTTAAAGATAAAACTTATTTTTTAATAAAGACTATTAATAATATTTATCTAAATCTCCTTATTCTTTAAAAAAATAATTTGGTAAACTAAATCTATTAAATGATAAAATCATATATAAATCTCATAAAATAACTTCTAATTTTTTTACTTCATTCTAATTGTTATAAATATTTCCATCCTATTATGATAATTTTTATAAAAGGAGCTTAACATTAATTTTTAACATATCAAATCATAATTAATATATTCTATTATAACAATTTCAAATAAATTTATCAAATAAAAAAATAAAATTATAATATAGACAAATTCAAATCAAAATATCTCAATACATTTCTTAAATTTCTTAAGATTCTTGTTGTTAGATTCTTTTGGATAAAGTTTCAGCTCCTCGAAATGTAAAAGCAAGGTTTTCAAGGGTATGAAATATTGGTAATTTATTTTTTTACATAAATTAATATCCTTAATTTATTTTTTCTTCTAACAACTAGATTTGAGCCTTTAAAGAATAAATCCAAAAAATCAATAATATAACTATTAATATAATTGCAAAATTTACTTCCAAATAAGGATACTATTGAAAATATAATAATTAAAACATCGTTCATTTGATCTTCTAAAGATGTTTAAAACTCTATTGTGAATTTCAAATTTATTATCTTTGTTTTATCTCTAAAATTAATTCCATAATCATATATTAATGGGCAAACTTCAGTATCATCACAAAAGCAAAGAATCTTAGGATGAGTTCTCGATAATTACAATTTGATCAATTTTGTATTTGTAATCATATAAATCAATGAAGAATTTACTACAGAGATTTATTATAATCCTAAAATTTGTATATTTTAGATTTCATTTGAGTTATAGAGATAGACCTTATGATTATTTTTAGATTAAATAAACATCATATCTCCTACATTTATTATTTTTATTATTTTATTCTCTTATTATAATATTTCCCCAACTGAAATACTATTATCCATAAAATTTATTCTGAAATTCATAATTTTATATACATCATTATAATATAATCCAAAACAACTATAATATTCATTACAAAAAAATGATTTTGGATTTTAAAATGGATTTAATTCAGAATAAATTATTTTAGAATTAATATTGTTTTATTTTAAAAGTAATTTTAATACATTTAATCCAAGATGCTAATCCATCAAATAAAAATAGTATTTCTTATCATCAATTTTTTTAATATCAAAGTCTATAATATTTTGAAATTTAGATATATCTATTGATCCAAAATATTTGTTTGTTTTATTTTAAAGATCATAAACATAAATGAATTTATTTATAACAAATAAAAATCCATCATAAGTTTTAATTACACCATGATAAAATGTAATTTAAGTGTCATTTAACAACTAATAATCAACTAAGAAAATAGGATTTTCACTTTTTTCATTATAATAACCTTTAAATTAAGTGTAATTCCCTTCAACTTTTTTCTATTGAATAATTGTTCCATTATGTGTTAATTAAGTTAAAATCATATCGTTCATTAGTACCCAAAGATCATTTTTTGTAGCTAATATAAAGTAGTATTTATTCATTATATCTAGATCTTAATAGTTCATAAGAGATGTTGTTTGCAGAAGAACTTTTTCATCTTCAATCCAACAAAACTCTTGATCACTTTCTTCACTCATTGTTACATTTGTAGCATTATTTAATTCTAAAACTGTTTCTAACTAACCAATTTCTATCTTAAATTCATATTAATTGCATCTGACTCCCATGCTCAGTATCAGTGATAGTAAGAATTATTCAATCATTAATTAATATTTGTAATTCAAATTTTGATTTCAATTTTTATTTAAATTCATAGTCATCAGTCATTTTTAAAGAACTGGCTAGATGTAAATTGGATTAGATATAATTTAAACATATTCTATTCTATTAAAACATTTTTATATATTAATTTAAATGATAAAAACATTTGAATTCAACTTATTTTTCTATTTTTTAATCAATACTACTATAAGAAATTCTCTTAAAATTGTATTCATGAAAAAACACTCGTATTCAAAGTCTTTAATAGTTTAATTGATATAGAAAAAAGGAGAAAAAATTTGAAAATAGATTTTAAAATGCTAAAATTCAATTAATTTTATTGTTAAATCAAAAGCAATCTTAGTGAATATTAATATCAATTATTTTTACATAAGACTCAAAAGTGTTAGGGATTAATTAATCATACTTATAAAAAAATAAATAAAAGAATGCTATAAATAATTCATATTTCAGCCAACATAAATCATTTATTGTTTAAATTATCATATGAAATCATTTAAATTACCAAGATTTATTCACTAAAAATTTATAAATTGATTAAGATAATTTTAGATGAATGTTCTAGAAACCTTTTATAATTAATAATATAAATAAACTATTTTTGCAGTTATCTATGAATTGAGTTGCAGTCTTAGCATAGTCTTTAAGCAAAATATTGAAAAGTCGTATCAACCGGGTCTTACAAACTATAATTAAATGATATGCAAATTTAAAAATAAAAAGACAGTGAAACTAATTAATGAATCTGTAAATAATATTGTTTAAATCGGAATTGAATTTTAATTAGTATTTATAAATTAAATGTCTTATCTTCACATACTCATTCTGATTTTTTACCTTAATAATTCTATTTTTAATTAACTTTTCATTTATTTAATAATAATCATTAAATCTTAACAATAATCACATTTTTTTCAATTTATTTATTATATATATAATTTCTAAATATATTTTTTTGCGCAAAGATTATATCTATCTTATATAAATTATACCATTATTAAGATTAATATATTTATTTTATCTGAATAATTATGTTTAATTAAGTATGAATTGCATTCTGAAATTGGGTATTAATTTATTGTAATAATAAATTAGTGCTTATCAAATAAATAATTAAATTACAAAGAATTTTATAAATAATAAACAATGTAATAGGAATTCAAATTACCATAAAAGATAATAGAGTTGTATGCTAAATATCAGAATAAATCATAAAAAGTGAAAAAATTCTAACTTTAAGAGCATACTTTTATGCTTGAAGATCATTATGCTCCTGTGGAAATAAGTAATAATTTCTATAAATAAATAAAGTTGGAAGTGGTGCTTATGGGTGTGTAATATAAGCTGATGATAAGAATGCTAAAACAGAGAAAGATAGATAGGTGGCCATTAAAAAAATTGAGAGAGCATTTGAACATAGACTATATGCAAAAAGAACTTTGAGAGAATTAAAAATTCTTAGATTGATGAAGCATGAGAATGTAAGATTTTTTAGATTGAAATAGATTGTTGAATTAAAAACTCTCCTTCTTCCAAAATCTAGAGAAGAATTTGAAGATGTTTACATGGTTACTGAATTATTAGAAACAGACTTAGCATAAGTAATTAAGAGTGACTAAGTCTTAACAGATGAGCATATTTAATTATTCTTATATCAAATTTTGAGAGGATTGAAGTATTTGCATACTGCAGGAATTTTGCATCGAGATTTAGTATCACATTATTTAAAAATTAATTTAGAAACCAAGAAATTTATTATTAAATAGAAATTGTGATCTGAAAATCTGCGATTTCGGTTTAGGTAGAGCTATGGCTGATCCTACATCATCCAATAATGCCAATATTATGACTTACTATGTAGAAACTAGATGGTATAGAGCCCCTGAATTGTTAGTAAGTTTTAAGAATTATACACCTGCTGTCGATATGTGGTCAGTTGGATGTATTTTAGCAGAACTACTATTAAGAAAACCATTTTTAAGAGGTGATTCAAGTAATTAATTATAAAATTAATTAAGCTAAGAGATAAGTGAAATTGATTTTTGAATTATTGGGTACACCAAATGAAGCCTATATTTAATCATTTTAAGATGAAAAAGTTTAAAATAATTTAAGGAAAGTTATCAAAGAAACTGGTCCAAAATAAGGTATTCCATTAGAATAATTATTTAAAAATGCTTCTAAAAATGGTATTATTTTCTTATTATATGAAAAGCTTTGGATTTATTAAGGAAATTACTTACATTTGATTTTAGATAGAGAATAACAGTTTAGTAAGCCTTAGAACATCCTTATTTGGCTTAATTGCATTTTGAAGCTGATGAACCTAGTGCTTAATTAGTCAATTAATTAGAGTTTGAATTTGAAAAATATGAAATGACCAGAGAATAAATCAAAGGTAAAAAAGTAAATCTTATTGTATCAGATCTCCTTTATGAAGAAATTCTATTGTATTATTTTCCAGAATTCTAAGCATAATATGAAGCAAAGAAAAAATCTGGATAAAGTTTAATATCTCATATTGTGAACAATGAAAATGCAAAAATAGTAAATTATTTATTTAAAATAGTTTGATCCAACAGCAGATGATGATTTAGATAGAGATTGAATGTATTATTATGTTAAATTCAAAATTAAGTATTTTAATGTGTTATTACTATCCTTTTCTTGTTATTATTTATTTATTCATTGTAATCTTTTAAATTAAAATATGTTATTCAATCTACTTCATTTTTATTTAGGTATATACTC